TAGTCCATTCTCCCATTAAAGACGTGGTCATCAGTGGTGAACTGTTTTTTCAGATCTGTGAAAGTTCTCTGTAAAGATCTTCCTTACTGTGGCTAGCAATTTGTTCACATGCCCTTAAACAAAGACATTACTTTAAAACTATTTTAAAGGGTGTCTCAATAAGACTATGTCACATCAGAGAGTTGGTGAGAACATGTACAGTTATCCGCAAATAATTGACCACCTTCTCCAAAACAACCCAGGTCCCAAAGAAACAACATTTTAGTATTCTTTTTCTAATCGGGGATAATTAAGAGAACATTCAAGAGCATATTGCTTGATTTTAGCATTTTTTGACACATTGGAAGGGAGGGGGTAAGACGACAGAAAGACATAAAACTCTTAGTAACAAATGAATAAGTACTTTTTCTGCCCAATAAACTACAGTATTTTATTAGTATTTTTAAGCGTCTATTGTACTGTTTTTAACGTTTCTTTGTTATTAAATCTCTTTTAGTAAATTAATAAAATAATGAAAATAAAAAGCATTTTATTTTCACTCACTTTTAATGTCATTTTGCGACTGGTTCACTTTCTTTTTCTTCAGTTTCTTTATTTTGCAGAAATGGAGTTTATAACGAAAGTTCGGGGGGGATGACAACAACCACCCTCACTCATACTCAGCTGTCAGTAATTAGCAATCGCTCCCATCAACCTTCCTCCACCACACGCTATAAATACCAACCTGATTTCCTACTCTCCCTCTCGCACAACTTTTGCATCCCAACTTCACCCCAACTCCACCTCTGCAGCTACCCCTTGGTTACCCTGCGTGGGGGGTCCTGGCCTCCTTGTCCTATGGGGTCCTCGTCCTACACCTCAGCCAAGCGGGCTAAGCCAATATCCGCTCCATAATAGTTCATCACGCTTCGATCTTGGGTGTTGTCGTTCCTAGTGAAACATTGTGATGGGGATCTGCTTCTTCTGGCTCGAAGACCTGTTCCAGTTGCCGACCAGTTTTAATGCTCCTATCCATTGAAGGGTCTGAGCGAAGTATTCTATCCTTCAGGTTTCGGAGGTCCTGGAATAGAGCTGCAAAAGACTCGAGTGTCCATTGCTTTTCTTGCGCTTCCTCTTCTTCCCCTTCTTCTTTACTGACGCTCTTGATAAGCTCGTCAAGGTCTTCCTCTGTTCTTTGGGCAGCAGCACCTCCCCAGGTTCCGTGTCAGAGAATTGTTAGGGGACGTGAAAAGGCACAAAGCCGGGCTAAAACGCCACGCTTGCGGGCTCGCGGAAACGCCGTCGCCTGCCCTGTACTTCCCCAAATGTTTTTTGGGGGGGGCATCCCGCAAATAAACAAAACCGCAAAGTACAAACCCGGAAAAAGCGAGGGATGACTGTATATTTAAAAACAAAATAATTATGTAATAACTAATTTTCTATGTACTGTAATTTATAAAAAATCTTCTAGACCTCCCGCTCCCCATCTCTCTCGCAACCTTTCCACAACCCATTTACACCCTTTCAGCAGCTCCCTGGCTCATTCCTTGTGAAAGCTGGGGGGGGGGGGTCAGTCAGTCTCATCCTTAAAGCCAAGCTGCCATTCTCTTCTAGGTGAGTTACGCCAAATGACCTCTTCTACATTAGTCCCACTATTGCATTCATTCCAATATAACCCAGCCACTGAATTGTGGATTACTGCACATGAATCAAATGTATCATTCTGTATTTGTACTGTTTTTGCACCCTTTGTGGACATTCTCTTTTGAGAATGTGCTCGTATTCAACTGTATTATTCTTCCAGAATCCCATTCACATTTTGACACTGAGGGTTTTTATCATGTCCTGTTGAGTTTAATATATATTGTATATAGGTGTACAAAATAAATGCAACATTCAGGTGTAACAGATTTACTCCAACATTTTAAACATTGATATCAAACAATTTTCCAGAAAATTTGATATGGTTTTAGTGTGAAACATGACACAATGTCAAAGTGAAAACAGTCGGTACTGGGTATGACCTCCCTGTGTATTCATACAATCCTGGCAATGCTGATGCTCAGACCTGATCAGGCTCTGGAAAGGCTGAAATGAGACATTTGACTCCTCTTCCTATGCAGCTACAGCCAGTTGGAGATGACCGGTCAGTGGTAGTTGTCTCCTGTTGATGGAATTTGTCATTCACTTCTCACTGTTGTTCACTTGGATTCGGGGTCATGAGCAAAAGCTAGGCACCTCAAGACCTTGAGATTGTTGCCTTGGAAGTCAAGCCGTCTAATTCCTAACACTGTGCTTTGCCCTGGTGGAGAATCTATAGAAAGAAACTGAGAAACCCGGCTCAAGGATGTCATGTCGCTGAGCAGCAAAGCTGTCCTCAATCTGTACCAAAGGCTTTCTTGTGCTAAAGTCCCCCCTTCCACTGCCCTGCCAGTTGAACAGAGAAGCAGTAATGGCAGTAATGTGCACTATGGCGTCTACATACACTTTGTCTTTTGTCAGGGGCGTTGGTCAATAAAACATTCCATAGCTTTTGGCCGTAGAAGACATTTACTTTATCTCTGTCATCATGCTACCCCTGAATGATCTCCAAGATCATTTTGATGCATATGGTGAGCTAAAGTCATCCTGCTGATCCACAAGTTATTTCTTTCTGGAATGTCTTGTGCTGCAGCTATTGCAGTCTGAAAACAATTATGCAGATGGATCAGACAGATGTAATGGTTCTGGGCCAGTATATTGACCCTCAGGAGATCAATATTCACAGAACTCTGGAGCTCAGCTTTACTTTGGAGTGAGAATGCTTTGTGGAATTTCAGTTGAGATTCTTAACTTTAATAATATTTAAAAAGGCGTGTCAAAATGTCAGTATTTGATACTGTGTAATTGCCTACAGTATAATGAATTCCTATTAACAGGCTTCATGTACAGTACAAACAGGCTGTTTAAATAGCCTGCCTCCTGACCTCACTATGTCTGTTTAGATTGTGTAGATCTGTTTCTGGAAGCCATGAAAACACAGTTTTTGAAGATACAGATGAAAAACAATTTACAGCGTTTTCTTATGATAGTGTTCCCTCTTGTGGCCATCTGATTTTCTTGCAAATAGATTTACAGAAGATTGCATCAGCCTGAGTGCTCAAACCACACCACCACTTGAAATGGAATTTCCTTTATATATATATATTTCCCAGTGCTTTAAAAAGACATGATAATTATAGTTGTATGAAAGACCATTGATCGTGAAGAGCTGTACTGAAAACTAGAAAGATAACAAGATGTTTCAGTTTCTTTTTTAGAGAAAAAGGTTGTTTTCATATACTGCATCCACACAGTACATACAAAAGACTGGTTACAAAGTTTTCACATCAAGGTACAATGTGTATCTTATCCCAATAACCTATCTTTTATTAATAATTATGATTAACTCTGAATACTCAATATCCTGGGGTATTTATGTAAGTATTTTATATTTACAGTATATAAAATATAAAGTGTAGTTTATATAAGATCAAAATAAAGGCTGCCCATTTTATTGTTTAATAACTTGGTAGATCATTGGATCTAAGCTTTTGTCTAGCTGTATTTTAAAGGAGCTTAGAGTGGGAGCTTCATCTGTGTGGCTTGGCAACACGTGTTAGCCACCCACTGCTCTTTGTAGAACTATTTCCACGTCTCCATTCTAAATTACTGTAATTCAACCATTAGTTTCCAGTTGTCACTTAGTGTCATTGTCTCTCCACTGAGTATGAAGCAACCCTGGGTTGAGTCGATAGCCCTTATAATGTTATATGCATTGTATACATTTATACAAAAAATATTGAATTACTTTATCCCCGGTTTGCTAATGGATCCTTGGCCCCTCTAATCTATAGTCTAAATCTTAATCTAAATAATGGATATAGATCACAAACTGCCCAAACAAAAGTTTCCTCTACATCTACATGCATTATTACCTTGAACTCCTGGACTCCGATTGCATTTAATATGAGAATTAACCTGTTGAAGGACCTTATCGGTTTTCATTCTGGAAAATTGATTATATTATGTCATATGTTTTAGTGGTCCTTATTGCATGCTCAGGGAATTCTATCATATAATCATAAAATAAGGGATTTTTTTTTTTCATTTTAAGATGCCCTAGACCCTGTAGAACCTCTGTGTCACATTAAAATTACCGAATATTAACACATACCTGTATGTAGCATACAGGTATCTTTAACACAGCACACATTGTTGTTTTCAATGACTATGAAAATCTTTGTTAAATATTATTTATATGTAGCAATGCCTTTATTATCTTCTATTCTTAATCCTGGTTATCTTATAAACTGTTTTCTTAATTGTTTACATTTATTTTATTATGGTATTGTTGTATTAAAAAGTAGTTTGCAATATTTTTAGTGCTGCTGTGTTCTCTCATTACTCCCATGGTATTATATTTTTTTTTTCACCTGTGCCTACAGTTTAGTATACTTCTTTTCTTTTTTCCCCTTTTTTTTTAATCCTGAGCCCAGTTTATTTTTGCAGTTTATTCTTCTAGAATTTGCAGAGTTTCTCCTTTAATTCATTTAGACTATATGTTCTTAATATTTAAAACATACTGTATTTTAAGTCCCTGCAAAGCTATTGCAAAGTAGAACTTGCAGCAGCTTGGGAAATGAAAGAAAATCAAGAATGCAATACATTTGGTTTGTAACCAGATATGTCTGAGATGTTTTTTTTTTAAATGATGAATATCTCATGCTCTCTGCTTTCAGCAAACCATAAATCTCATTCATAGTCACTGGCCTTTGACCATTTTAAAACAATCTGCTTAGCTTACCAAAAAGGCCAAATAATAGCTTGGTGAAAATGTAAAATTTAAGTTAAGTCAGAGCTTGTTTGCAACATGCCAAAAGTGTTTGATAATGCTTTTACCAGAGCGTTTGGCGCCACTTAAGTATATGTTATTTGAATGCACAGAAATCCAAGATGCACGAGCCTTCGAGATGTGTAATGCATTTTTCTTTCTTTTTCAGCAGAGCGAGAAATAGCTACGCAATGGGCCCGTTACCACTGATACTTCTAGTCTCATTAACTGTATTAAGTTCAGTCTTTGCAGAAGAGAGTGAAGATGAGTATACCTGGCACACACAAAAAGTACCACTAGTGTTGAATAGGAGAACTGTTACCCTTAGTAACCCAGAGTTCAGAGCCGAAGCCAAATTTGTGTTAAATGGAACCTGTGGGATTGAATGCCAAAGCCGATTGCCCCTGCCAAGTATGTCTGACCTTGAGAACTTCCTTTCATATGAGACTGTTTATGAGAATGGCACTCGTACCTCCTCAGAAGTGTACTTCAGGGACTTTGATCTGCAGACTGAGCATGGGGTCATCAAGGACACTCATGCGCGCAGGAAAAGGCAAGTCTATGGCGTGGACAGTCGCTTCACTATAGCTGACAAGCAGTTTGTGACCAATTTTCCGTTCTCTACAACTGTCAAAGTCTCCACGGGCTGCACAGGGATCCTGGTGTCTCCAAAGCATGTTCTGACTGCGGCCCACTGCATCCACGATGGAAAAGATTACGTGAAAGGCGTGAAGAGGCTAAGGGTTGGGATATTGAGACTGAGGTCCAAACGTAAGGGGAGAAAGCGGAAAGGATCCAAAAGGAATCAGAGGAGCGCAGACATCAAGCCTTCTTTCCAGTGGACAAGGGTAAAACGGACTCAGGTGCCAAAGGGATGGTTCAAGGGTGTCTCAGACAATGTGGCAATGGATTACGACTACGCATTACTGGAGCTAAAACGAGCTCAAAAGCAAAAGTACATGGAGATTGGCATCATTCCCTCAGTGAAGAAACTCCCAGGAGGCCGGATACACTTCTCTGGCTTTGACGACGACAGGCCTGAGCAGCTAGTGTACCGCTTCTGTAGTGTCTCCGACGAGTCCAGTGATCTGCTCTACCAGTACTGTGACGCCCAGCCCGGATCCAGTGGCTCTGGAGTCTACATCCGCCTGAAGGAACCCGGGAAGAAGAAGTGGAAGAGAAAAATCATCGGGATCTTTTCTGGTCACCAGTGGGTTGATGTTAATGGCGTTCAGCAGGATTACAACGTGGCTGTCAGAATAACCCCTCTGAAGTACGCCCAGATCTGCTTCTGGGTGCATGGAAATGATGCAGACTGTCGAGGTGGTTGAGGGATTCATAAAATGACTTGACCAGCACCTGTTATACTGTATATTTAATCTTTTAAATTGATTGCCCTTCAAGAAAAAAAAAAAACACAATAATTTTAATGTTAAATGGGAAAACATCCAAAGTAAACAAGATATAAAGGCTTGGGCCTTTTTTATTTATTTAATGATTGCTTTTGATCTCTAAAAAACAAAAGAAAAAGCAAGAACTGCAGTTTTAAGAAATATCAAAAGCGAGAATATGGCCTTAAAACAAGGGTTCAGTCATTAAATCTGAGGTATAAACAGCTTTAGGCTGCCTGCCAATATAGAAGCATTTCTTTAAATATTGTCTGCTGCTTAAGATGGAATAGAGAGTTGCTCATTGTTATGTATAATCAGTATTTGCTATAAGTTAAAGGTGGCTTTTAAAATGTGTCTGGTTTTCCTATAGAGTACAATGAAGTAGGAATAAAATAGGATGAGTCTGTTATGATATAGGTCAGAGAAATTAATCATTTTGTTTGCAAAACTTGTTTGCATATGTGTTTTGGACATGTTATAGAGCTGACAATGTGCATGTGATTTTTAGTTTACTGTTTTTATTGAAGTTGATGGAAAAAGAATTTATATTTTTCAAAATAATTTCTTAAATTTTGTAATTTGTTTAAGACACGACCAAATTTATTTCAAAATCAGCAAACAGCTTTAAGAATATAGTTTGCTCAAGCTAAATCACCACATTTGGTATGTTTTGGTAATGAAAAGGATTGAAATGTTTATCGGTGCACATACAAATCATGGTGCTTTTTCATCTCTGTTAGGTTAAGATGAAATATTAATGGTGCTAATTTAATTTGTAAAGTTTTTGGAAACCTATCAGAATATATTATTAAACAGAATTGTATCAATGTATTTAAATGTGATGGTAAAGTGATGGGTTTAAGAAGTCAATAAAGAATTTTAAATTGTGTTATTTTAATTTAATAAATGAAGGTTTCAATGTTTTCATGTGTAAAATTTTATAATCCAGCTTATTTTCATTTTCAATATTTATTATAATTTAAGTAACACATTAAGCTACTGCAGTAAACAAGAGGCTGCTGGGACCAGACACATAGATTTTGTACTCCAGGGGTAAAAGCCACGTGTTTATACAGACAACTTTAGCTGAATTGAAAACCAGAAGACATTGTGGCTCTCCATACTCACGTTGCAAATCATTCACAGAGACAAAACCTAAAACTCTCATCCCAGGTTTCCTACTGTATGTCCTGTTCCTGGAAGGTTGATGTGTCTGTAGGTTTTGCAGGTCTCCCCTGAAGCACCAACACATGGAGAAGTGGGAAAAGTCAGTACATTTGTCCATTTAAAATAATTACAAGCTGATTCAGGGTATCTGGACTAAATAATCATAGGCACCCAGAAGCAGGATTGCTGAACACTGGTCTAATTATTTAGATGAGTGTTTATGACACACAAGCACCATTCTGAGTGTACTGTTAACAACTGACCACAATGACACCACACAAAATGTTACCTATACAACCTGTTATTCCCCGCGGGACTATACCTGCAAAACATTCACTCCCAGTTAATTAGGGGAAGAGCACACGTGTCAAAGAAGAAATTATATTTTGCAGAGGAAGACCTTCAAAATAGTTTTAGACAAAAGCTCAATAACAGAGTGTAAAAGTTGGTTTCTACAGTTTTGCTCCCATTAATTTATATTGTAGAGCCTTATATGAATTTTTCAAATTGCTGTTCTCTGAAACTGAAAATAATAAAGGTTTGAAAGATAGTGGCATTGTTAAAAGTGTTTGCACAATGACAAAGTATTGTGTGAGCTGGGCACCACCTTAAATTGCTTCTCTTTCGCAACTGAATAAAGCAAAAGTTGTTATACACGATGATCATGTTGTCTGGCTCTATTGCTGATAGCAAAGTATCATATTCAAACTCTACATACAAGTCAATTTCTTGTAATTGACATCTTTATGGTACTGAAAGACTCCCGAAATTATATAGGCCCAAAGTTCTTAGTGAAGATGAACGATTACAGGCAGATAGCAAGAACTCAAAGGATTTTCACAAAAAACAACCTCTTAACGCCCATAATGCCTCTTATTTTTGGCACAGTATTAGATGGTCAAAAACATTCAAATGTTTTCTGAAAATGCTTGACTGAGCAGACTCAAGTTTGGTATGCATAAAAGACGTTTCTCACAATATCACTCATCACTCAATATTTCTCAATTACGAAACATTGTCACAATTAACCAACTGGATTTCCAGCTTGCTTACTATGCAGTACATACATCTAGCCCCCTTGCTAGTTAGAAAGGATGTCTCATCCAGCCATGGCTTGAAAGAAACCAGAATATCACTCAGCTTCAACCATACAGCTGGGTAGCGTGTTCCTCACTCCCATGAAGCTCTTGGTAAAGAAGTGCTTCCTGGTCTGTATTAAACACAGTTGTCTTCTTGTATCCACTAGTTCCCATTTCACTGTTCATTCAACAGTCCACTGACCTTTGACTTCTCCTGAGACACTGCAGATAAGGTCAAAGTTATTCTAATACACAAAAAACATCAATACAATTGATGATCATATTTTTGCTCCCTATTAATTGGAGGGATTGTTATTCCATGGCTTTTTAAAAGAAGAATCTGGTATACAGCAGGCAGTTTTTTAAAGAAAATAAACATATTTGAAATTTCGAATTCAGTGTTTGTTTTAAACTATCACAATTAAAATGTGATTAATACAGTAATAAGTACAGATTATTAGAAACTATTACAGGGAGATGAAAGGAAGTGTAAAATGCAATCCAGCATTCACTAAGATGCCCACATCCACCCACACTTACACTGCTGTCAAAGCACTCTAGTGCCATCTTGTGGTAATGCCCGAGTAAAGCACATTCAAAAAAAGAACAAAAGGTTACAGACTAGATTGAAGAGGTTAGTCAATCCTCCATCTGGCACAGCAGCTAGTTCATTGATCCACGATCTAATCCAGCCATTTCTTGAAGAAACCAGGGTATCAGCATGAAGAATGGCTGTGTAGCTTATACTATACTCCCACACCACCGTGGGCAAAGAAGCACCCCCTGTTCTCAGAGCACTTCCACATACTGTAAGTCCCTCTCGTTTCCTCCGGCTCATGGTGAACAAATCCACTTGGCTGACTGTCAGAACCTTTGAGGATTTCCTTCAGCCTGTACAGGACTTTCACTTATTCACCAGAACCTAGCTGGATTTTCTCAGGAATGATTCCAGAGCAGCTACATCTTTTCTACAACATGCAGACAAAGATTGGGCACAAGACCTTAGTGTACAATACAATTTTAATCTCTTGAATTAAACTCTATAGTTTTACTTATTCTAACATGCCACTTTTGTAATTGTACATTCACATTGTCCAGAAGTTCATAGACACCTTTTGAAAGAGAAGAAACAATAAGCCTTTCAAAATTAGCATCACAAAATACAGTACCTTCCAGTTGCTACCTGCACACAGAACTCTTACCTAATGGGACAGGCCTGCCTCTCAGCAGAGAGCTCATGAGGCCTGAGCACGCTGGAAAAAATCATGACCAAACCCAAAAAGCATGCAAGGAAATGTTTCATCACAAAGACAATCTACTCTGAACTAAACCAAACCGAACCCTCTTGTATCAAAACTAAATCTAAATTAAACCCATGTGAGAATGTGACTCTCGGCTCTTCACCATTTACCTCATTAAGGAACGCATATGAGCCTATTTACATACAAATAGAGGCCCGTACAACTTCTAGTGACAGGTCAGCTGAAGCTATTAGCCCAATAACTGCTGGCCTGCCATGTCTACAGCGTATTAATTGTTATCTGCCAGGTGTATGCCTGGATTTGAATTTTATGTCAATCTTTTTGCTGAAATCTGCTGAACTCTTCATATGGTTAAAAGAAAAAAAAAAACAGTATTTGATAGACTGTGTAGTTGTAAGGATTGTTTGTGTATTTTTCAGTAAAAATATTGTGATGGATTTCCTAAATTAAAGATTTTGTTAAGAATTCTGAAAATGCTGTATCTTTAGGAAATTTAACTGATGTATTAATTCCAGATTAATATACAAATTGCTTAGTATGTTTCACAAGATTATATTATCTTTGTAACGAACAGTTCTTTCCGGACCCTATGCGGACGACACAGTCCGACGGAGTGGGGAAACACTGGGGAAACGTCATGCAGGAATACGGGGCTGAAGACAGGGGGGCGTGTCCAAGGTGCGCTGGTGCACGGGGGGAGGTGTGGCCGAGGCGAACAATCCAAAAGAGTAATCCTTAGAGTATCCAAAACACAAGGGTAAGTCCAAAACCAGGAGATCCATAAAAACAAGGGAATTAAAACCACGAAGGCCGGGTCGGAACCGGCAGACAAGGAACAGGAACAAGGGTTAAAACCTTAACGGGACCAGGCGCTTCCAGGTCCCGGACTCACATGGTGCGGAACCAGATGCAGAGCCCAGATGAGCGTCAGCGCCTGGCTTTTAAGGTGGGCTGGGAATGGGAAACAGGTGCAGAGAATAAAGTCTAAGTGAAAGGGCTGGAGCACCCTTAAGGAGGGGGGACTATAATCGTGACAATCTTTTTTATGAAGTTTATACAGTATGGTTGTGAAGATGAAAAATCTTTTGAATATATTTCCAGTTCTAGTTCATGTTTTCAGATTATTTAAATGCATGGAATACATTTAAATATCGAATATATAGAGTACATATAGTAAATGTATAGATGGTGCTTAAAAGATTCTTCACAAAATGCAGTATTTTTAATAAATCCAATTTCAAGATGTTTCTCCATGTCTCCAAATCTTCTACACACGGTATGAGTATGTAACAATCTGAGTTGCTGGCTATCAGATCTTAGTTTCCTTCAAGTTACACAATAGTACAGAAATCCTGGTTCGACTGCATTTGCTTGCGTTGATGTAAAGCTAAGGACCTCTTGCCAGTTTTTTATGATTACAGAGTTCTGCATTCATGCGCTATGTTTTATCTGCTGCATGTGTAAGTTTGAAAGCCTAACTAGTATTGTAGTCTGTTTTGGCTTAAATATGTTGTGTTGGGTGCCAGAGTGTTTCACTTTCATGGCCATTCTGAAAAATGCATGTTTTTTTTTCACATTTTCTAGAGATTGATTCTAAATATTATTCTTTCTATGACTTTTATTGACAACAGATGGAAATGGACCTTCAGAGTTTTATTTTGTGGCTCGACTGCTCTGTAATGGATTGAGCTGTATGACTTTTGAGTGCAGTTTCATTCAGCTACGCTCATTGCTCTGATCACAGTTCTTCTTTTTAAATTTAAGCAGAATTATTGAAAAGCAGCGTGATGATTTTGTAACCATAGCTGAAGGGTCACTAAACAACTGCAGTTCTGTTCCACAACAATATTGATTTGGTATGTCTGATTAAGTACTGCATGAGTTAATACTGTTCCATACTTGTGTTTTATAGATAGTGCTATAAACTGCTACAAACTGAGAAAAGCAAGAATGAGGAGAAGCCACTGAAGCCACAGCCTTAGAAATCACCATTAATAGCACCATCAACAACTTGGCAATTGCACAGCTTATGTAGGATGACATCCAAACTACTTAATCCCAATGCAGAAAGCATTCCAAAATATTTCACTTAGCTATTAGCTATCACTTAGCTTGGCTATTTCTTAAGCCACTTGTGGAGTGATTTGGGTTGACAGATACATTAGTGCATACTGTACCACCATCACATAACATTGCTGATGCAGCAGCCAGGGTACAGATAATAATAATTGCTTACACTTATATAGCGCTTTTCTGGACACTCCACTCAAAGCGCTTTACAGGTAATGGGGAATCCCCTCCACCACCACCACCAATGTGCAGCATCCACCTGGATGATGCGACGGCAGCCATAGTGTGCCAGAACACTCACCACACACCAGAGTAATGAAGCCAATTCATAGAGGGGGATTGTTAGGAGGCCATTGTTGATAAAGGCTGATGGGAAATTTGGCCAGGACGCCGGGGTTATACCCCTACTCTTTTTGAGAAATGCCCTGGGATTTTTAATGACCACAGACAGTCAGGACCTCAGTTTTAAGTATCATCCAAAGGATGGCGCCTGTTCACAGTATAGTGTCCCCGTCACTACACTGGGGCATTAGGAACCACATGAGCCGCAAGGTGAGCGCCCCCTGCTGGCCCCACTAACACCTCTTCCACTAAGCAGCAACCTTAGTTTTTCCCAGGAGGTCCTATCCAGGTACTGACCAGGCTCACACCTGCTTAGCTTCAGTAGGTTGCCAGTTGTGAGTTGCAGGGTGATATGGCTGCTGGCTATAAGCAAAGCATGAAGATGAAGTGAAGCAGCACCACAGTAGTCTGTGTCTTTTCTTAACAAATATTCATACTGTATGCAGTGTGTCACATAAGGATGAGAGAAAGACCAAAAACAACCCTACTTGATCTCTTGAGTTCTGATAGCTAATTGTCATGTTCCAGTCATTTAAACAATTCAAACATGTGAGTAACACTGGACAGAATGGTTAATTTTCATACCTCACAGCACAGGGGCCCTGGGTTCAGTTCTAGACCTGGGGTGTTATCTGTGTTATCTGTTTGTATGTTCTCCTCGTGTTTACGTGTTTTTCCTCCTGGTACTCCGGTTTCCTCCCACAGTCCAAAGACATTCTGGTACAGTAGGTTAATTGGCTTCTGGGAAAACTGGTCCTGGTGGGAGTGTGTGTGTCTGTCCGGTGATAGACTGGCATTATATCTGGGATGTATCCCGCCTTGTGTCTGTTGCTTGTTGGGATAGGCTCCGGCTTCCCCATGACCCTAATTTGGATGAAGTGGTTAGAAAATGGCTAGATCTCGAGCTTATTTGTGCTTCATAAATTAATTCAATACTTTGCATTTTTAATGCTTGATCTCTAATGAATGTGTCTAGAACAGCAGTTATTGTGAACACCGATTATTGTAGTTCCAGTTCTTTACTGGCTACATTTAAGAATAGCATCCTCCACCACATGTACAGTATGTGCTGCAAAAGTACTATAGTGGAAAAAACAGGTTTGCCACCAATTTAGCCTAAGGCCAGAATTTCTTGGCAAACTTATTCACCCCCTTTCAATGACGTCACATTTTGCTGTATTGCAAATGAACAAAATACATTTTAAGTGAATATTTTTAAAACCTTGCTCATACTGAACACTTTTGTTCATTTGATACTTAATTTAAAGAGCAATATGATTTTGTTTTGTATTTATTTTAATTATTTGAAGAAAGATATTTAAAAGTCACTTTTCTGAAATGTGGACAACCTCGTATATTGTACTTCAAGAAGAGTTACAGGCATCTACAGTACTGCAGTATACTCAATTTAGTTGCACTTCATGTGCCTACTCAATGTTATTTTATTGTTTCAAGGCACAGCTAAAAAAAATGTATTCTGAACCTATTGCACCAAACTATTTTTTCCAAAATCTACTTTAAATAAAGTTACATTTTATAACTTTCAGAACTTTCTGTGTGATGTTGCATGTTCACCCAGTTTCTGTATATGTTTTCTCTGGGTGCTTCAATTTCCTCTCATCTTTTAAAGATACCTAGCTAGGGCAATAATGGGTCTCTGAATTGTTTCTTGTCCCTATAATTATGGACTATCTAAAAATCCGGGTCAGGCTCAGGGTTGTTGTGACCATAACTGAGAAGAAATTCCTTTCTGATAATGGATGGATATAGTGTCTGAATGAAACTGTGTTGTCTCTCATATTAGACGTACACAGATTGTGCAGATCATTGTCTGGACACTGGCAGGAGCCAAAAAACCTCAGTACATAATCACAGCAGATTATCATTACCTAATGTGACTGACTACTTGATTAAAGAGGTTTCAATTTCTTATGAAAATGATATGTTCACATGTAATAAAGTTTGGGCTTTCAAGAAGACTGTCTTGTGGATAAGCTCTTAACATTATTGCCAGAATCCACAAACATTACAATAAGCCAATACTGTTATGATGGTGGTTTAGTGTAAATCTTGTCTTTTTTGTGTACAAGTACCAGATAACAAAATTGAAACACCAGGGCAAATGAAGGTGTGACTTATACTTTTATTTTGCAGATAACATCCCAGCATGCTTAGGGTCACATCTAAAACTGCTTGAAAGGTCTCGCTGCCTTTAACTGTGGCTAGCTACAAGAGGAGAATTCAGTGATTTTGAAAGAGTGACATTATTGGGGTGTTTTTGTAAGGCATTTCAGTGATCAAGACAGCTAAACTTTCGTGAGCAATATTGTGTGACGACGGCATGAAACTCTGAGGCAAAGACATCTTGAAAGGGTAACAGTGAAAGGGTAATTATGTTGAACTACAAGACAAAATACTGTAGGTGAGCAGCTTACATTACATGAATGTGAATTTCAAACAGTAATTTCTCATTCAATTAAAAAAGCGAGCCAACTTTCATGTCAAAAGAATGGTGTGCCTAATTAAAGAACTCCACTGCTCACAAAGAGACTGCTTTTTAGGTTAATGGAATATTTTATGGTTGTAGAAGATCTTTGGCAATAAAGCTTGTACTCCTATGTACCAAAAAAGGAAACATGAGAAGTAACTCACTAAACCATGCCCATGCAGTATTTTTATAAGAAAACTAAAATTGAGTGGGATAAGTATTTAGGTTTCTTTAAACCATTGTGCTTTATGATGCTGACTTTTGGGTATTGTTTTTCAAATGAACAAAGTAAAAGCAGACTAATGTTCTTTAAGTTCAATGAATTTATTGCATCTCAAAGGGCATACATGCACTGGGGTTATTAATCAAAATCAAACAAAAGCCATTTTAAACAAAATTAAAAGATTTTGCTTTTTTATCCATTGTTCTCACAACAATTGTCGATACAGTCACTTGGAATGGTACAATACACAGATTACCCATTTAATTCCGAGAGTGTACAGGAGCTACAGTCAGACAGATTCCACTGCTTCTAAAGAGCTGCCAAGCCTAAAAGACAAAGTAACACTGATCAACAGTGATCTCCTTCTGAAATCTGTATGCATGACGACTTTCATCAGTGCTACCACCACTGTCACCAGGAGGAAAAGTAAACACTGAAGCAACAGAAAACACACATTAACAGGTAGGGTACAGGGGATGCTTTCATGGAGGCAAAGTAACAAACCCTATTTTTTATAGGTAATACAAAAATAACACTACGCACCCCCATTTGGTGATGATAAAACATTAGCAACTATGAAATTCAAACACAATTGTTCACTGCTGTAGGAAGTGCTTATTCCAAGACAAACATTACTCTGTAACCTAATGATCCTCTTTTGTGTGGGAGTCAGGGGATGAGATCATTAATTTCACAGGATGCCAGGAGAGCGTGGCCCTTTGACATAAAGAGTTTGATTAAACACTGCCTCATACTTAATGCAGGGAATGCATAGATTCCCCAAATCTATGGAAATAACGAAAATATAATACATTTTTTCAAACATAAGAATAAAGATAAATATGTAATCTGTAGATAAAATATCCTGAAATAGATATGGTAGTTTGCCAACTTCCATAAAGCAATGCTTTGAATTAGAAATAATTCTTAGCATGAAACACAATATACCGAAAAAAATAAACAATCAAAAAAAACACAGGAGGTGCTCTGGGTTTCAGAAGCCTGCAGATAAAATAGAATTATATATAACGTTTCTCAAATAAGTTAGATTAAGGACAGGAGCTAACGGGTATGGTCACATTTTTATACAGCTTGATACCAGATTCACAACTATACGCTCTTAACAGATATACAGGATAGAAAGAAAATCCTTGGACTTGCCGGTGAACCTATATACACTGAAAACCTTCCAAAATACACATACACATTTCTCCAAATGGCTCACGACGTATCAGCTGCATACCTGCAACCTTGTGAGAGGTACAGAGAAGCACGAGAAGGCATCGGTAACATACATCCATCGTTCAAATTCGCAAACACTTAAAAAGGAAGGATTAAAATACACATTTCTTTAGGTAAGGGAATACATCAAGATAAGCACACATTTCTATGGTTCACTTTCACAGTTGTGCTACAACATTTTACAGTTAGGAGAAAAGGTCTGAATGGAATTTTGTATTGGTGGCTAGCTAGGAGCTTCCAGGTATCAACGATTGATTACAGACACCAAGCTGACACTTTCACGGAGTCCAGAAAACAGCAGCTGGGGAGAGACATGAAAGTTTGCATTAGCCACAGTGCAGAACATGGCAGGAATACTTCATGTGGGGGGGTGGGGGAGAGCTCATTGTTTTTAGAAGTAATGTCAGGACTCCTTAACATGCGCAACAGCCGGTAAATAAAATCATAATGGTGACTAAAAAAGAAAGAAGAAAAATGGAAACTAAACAATAATTGCCAAAAAAAAGCCCATTTGGCCCTGTTGAATACCTGTCGAGACAAACGGTTAACACTGACATTCATAAACTGCCAACTTAATCCTTTGCTTAAAATCCTCATAATTACACTAATGTACACCTACAACTGAAACCATCTGAGCAGAGAGTTTGTATGCACACTTACATTACTGTACGCCCACTGTCGCTGAATTAAAATGCATCTGGACTACAGCAGGTATGTTTCAGTGACTCAGGAGTAAATCTTAATAATGGTTTATTTGCAAGCATTACTGACTCATTCCCAGAGTTACATTGTGTTTGATATTCAGAAATGCTACGCCCACGCCTAAGGTGTTTTGCGATTTTGTATCATACCCTAGATGCAATTTAACTGAAGCTGATACACGTTTTAAGCATGGTGTCTGTCAGTCAGATGTTCAGGGCTAATGTGGCAGCTAAGAATGGATGAAAATGGTTAGAAATAAAGACACGATATAGACACATCATAATTCTTGACAACTAGTACACTGCTATCACATAATCACACACAGCACTATATATTTGTAACAATATACATATTTTCCAATGTTGTGCAGTTTATTTCTGTACTCTCTTGACACTTAAATCAACAGTAGGGTCTCCATTTCACAGCTCTTATTGTGGGGCCAATCATGCTGAAATGTATATCCGCAAAAAATGTTTTTTAAATCATATAAATTGTATTTTATTATATATTATACTGATAAAAATAAATATAAATGCTAAATTATTATAAAAAATATTTTATAATAAAAAAATAATTCAATGCATTCTATCTACTTGTAAGAAATACTGAGGTGAACTTGTGTTTCTGTTGATCTTGTTTACAGAAATATTTGATCATTTCTAAATACCATAAATTGTTTTTGTATTACAAAAGTAAGTGTTGCATATTGTTTATTGGACATTTTCACCTTATGAATATTTTACAATTTTTCTTAGTAAAGTTCTGCACACAACACACGCAATGGCACTGCCAGGACACATACAGTAGCTCTAGAAAGTACCTTATAGGCTTATAGGAAGTCCTTGATATTTAGATCTGCAAGTGGGTCCTTCGTGGGAGGTTTTTTGGGACTCTGAGTTGCAGGTGTAGGGCTTGGGGAGAGCTAGCAGAAACAGAACCAAGGAAAAAAGAAACACAAAGCAAAGACTGCAGTCAGATACTAAAAAATATCACAGTGTGCACATGTCCAGTATTAATTTCCTGGCAGAGATGAATGCATTCGATATGGACATTTTACATGGTTTGGCTTCAATCACCACTTCTGATATGATGTAATTACCAACCACATGTGGCTTTCTCATTAAATACATTTCAGCTTAAACCATTGAAAGTCATAAATAATACCATAACAAAATGTGATAGAAAACTGACTTTCCTTATCTTAGGATCAAAATCTCTTTTTTTATTTCTATACATAATGTTTGTCTTGCTAGAGCAAATAATACATCCTGTTCGGCTGTCTCCACTAGCTGTAGTATGTCCTTGTGCCCTCACTGGCATCAAGCCCCTGGATTCCTCAGCCTGTTCAGCAGACGCGGCTTTTTCCATCTTACTGCCATAGCATAACAGTTCATGATAAACAGAACGGAAGCAAAGAGCATCTTACTGGTGCGCCGGTTCCCCCGAATGCCGGCCTCATCATGGACTGGGGGTACATCATAGACGACTGGGGCATCATTGGAGCACCAGCCCCGGGAGCAGGTGGCTGAACAACGTAAAGAAAGGAGAATAATTGTGCACGTCTCCTCTTGGGATTTCTGCATTCATTTCCAGAGATGATTTAGGAAAAAAGGAGTCGGATCTCTTACCATCCCGAACCCAGGCTGTGGAGGGACAGCGCCCATTGGTGGTACTGCTCCAACAGGGGGCACACCACCCACGGGGGGCCCGGTCCCAGGAGAGGGGCTGGGCTGGAGGGTGAGGGCAGAACAAGGCTCACGTCGGGCAAGTTTTTCAGTATATGTAGGTTGTGTTTGAGCAATGTTTCTCAACAGATGTTGCTTAAACCTGACACGAGCTGACTTGACTGGCCTGACTGGGTGCACGCTACTAGTCTACACTTCCAAAGTTTCTCTGCTTCTCATATTAGGAAGGTCTAAGTGAGTCTGTTGCCAAAGCATGCTTTACCTTTGTATGTGGATTCTGATATCTCAATCCTGAAAATAAAGAGCTTTGAAGTTTAGTTTAAGATCAGAAATACAGCTCAGTTTGCCTCTATGCCTTGTCAAAAAATCAGGGGAAAATTATAAGTGAGAGAGAATTTAGATACACCTGAACCCAATGACTGCCTAGCCCTTTAGTGAACTCTCAGAAGCAGTGGTCAAAAATGGCCAAAGCAGAATAAAATTATATTTATCTTGTAACAAACAAGAAGATACTGTATACAAAAGCATAAGGCTTTTACACATTTTACATTTACCACATTCAAGTGTTTCAGTGAGACTCATTGCATGCTATTCTACACTGCAGTGTCCGTTCGTACTGTATGTGCTTTAAACTGGAATCTGTAACAGTTGATAGAATAGCAGGGGAAATCTACACATAAAACTGTGATGCTAGTCCAAATGAAGGCACTCCTAGCTGCCCTTTAATAGATATTCAACATGGAAATCTACGGACTTGGTTGAGCCCATTCAGCTGCTCCACCCAAAACCGTCATTATTCTTACCAGCGGGCTATGACCGAAGCTGTTAATCAAAATATATCCAGTTTAAACTGTAAGTTTTCAAACCTTTTCTAAAGCATTGCAACTGATCTCACCCTGAGATTTCGTGTCTCACTGTCAGGAAGACTGTGAGGGCCTGAACAGACAACCCCTGTATTCTGAATGTCTTTTTATATGGCCACAGTGCTCATAGGTACAGCCAATGTCTTGACTTCCCGGTGAAAATATTGAATTCTCCTGTTTTGGGAGTGTTCCATCATGCCCTCTGGCAGTCCCCCCTTGTTTCTACAATCTCCATTCGGCTGCCCCGTTACAGAATCTTAAACAGCTAGCAATTTTAAGTATGTCCTAGATGATGCTACCAAACAAATGCGTACATACAGCTTTAATGTTCAGGAAGCTGAAAAGGCTGAGATGCATTAGAGAACAACAGGGAAAAGCTTCAAAGACATAAGAAGTATGATTCTTATCAGGCAAATAAGCACAGCACAAAAATATAAACGATTTTTCCATTCTTTGGTAAGTATGAGATCAAACTACAAATTTACACCAAGAGATGCAGGAAATGCGTTATGCAAGTCTAAATGACATAAATGATTTTGAAAGCTTGCTTGCAAGATAGCATTTTTGGTAAATATAACTAGAAGAATGAATACAAAACGCCACCCACATTATTTAGTTCTTTTTTCCTGTTACACCAGTGTCATTTTATTGCAGAGCTATGGATTTGGTTAGTAGGCCACAGATATCTTCCAGGAGAAAAAATAATTGACTTACATAACAAGAGAAGAACCAACACTTCTGATGGGAGAAATAGATATTTAGTTATTAACAAACATATCTTTTCCAATTTGCAAGTAATAGGGAAACCTGGATGGTTAAAGTATCAGGTGGATACTAATACTACAAATAGACATCTTGACAAATGTCTTGATTTAACCAGATTGGACTAGAAATCCATTCTCCTATGGAGTTCAAAATACTTGGTTAATACTGAACTCAACAAATTATTAGCAATTTATATTCCTTTGGAATATTCCATAGATTAATGGTATCCATTACGAGCTGTACTTTACAGCTCAAACAGAGAAGATAAACACAGCACTTCACATGACTGAAATTGCAAAGAAAAATGTAGTAAGCATGAGTCTAACTTGATCAGTCCAAGTGTACTGACTACAGGAGCATACACATGGGAATTTGAGTAATGAGAAACCTACAGTACATACAACAAGCTCTTACCATCTGAGCCCCAGGTGCACCCCAGGTTGCTGGTGCTACTTTAGGTTGCCAGTTTGCTCCTCCTGTCAGTTTCCTTTCACCTGAATTCCACTGAAGATCTCTGTAGGGAAGACCACATATTTAATAGTTTTAAATGCACACAGTGCTGAAGCTCAGATATTAAAGAACGCAGGAAAACACCATGGCCCCATCCTAAATGATTTGTACTAAATGGCCTGATGAATTCTATTTGATATTAAATGTTTTTAATTAAATGACAGATGATTTTAGGATAAAATGCATTACCCCTCCAACCTACTGTAATTGACAGTCAGACTGTAGAAGTGCTCACATACACCATTTACAAAAAAGGGCAATGGAGGCTTTTTTCTCAATCATATTTTTCTACACATCATTAACTGAAAGTGTTTTAACATATTGCCCTACTTGTATTTAGGTGAAAAAATGAGTGAAGATAAGCAACGAAGTCACTGGGGGAAAGCAGATCTACATGCCCTCTACAAACAGAGGGTATTAAAGAGGCTAAATGCATCATGGAGTGTGTCTCACCCCCTCCATTGTAAATTTACACTATTCCCATCTGGGAGATGCTCCTGTGCCCACAGGTATAGTGGTAACAGACCCAGGAAATCTCACCTTCAAACAATGTAATAATATCGCCTGAAACACTGATGTACTGTATTTATTGTTGATGACATTTGTCTGTTTTTGTTGTATTGTTGTGTTGGACTCTGCCATAAAACAAATGGGGATAACAAATCCTGAACTGAATTAAGAAGAGTACCTTCTCATGTGTTCCATCCCTACATCCATTTTCAATAACTGCTTAGTCAAACACATTGTTGCTGTGACACACCCTGGGTGAGATGATTGTGCTCCTGCACGTACGATCCTCTACAGTTTGACTCTACATTAAAAGGTCTGAATATGTTTGTAACTGCTTCTCTAACAGGTCATGGAGCAGAGTTGCAGACACGACAAAGAGTCATTAAAATGTTAGTGAATGACTGAGCTTCCTTTATTTCTAGAAAAAGGGAAGAAGTGGACGAAATTGCATATAAAGACTGCTTTAATGCGAAGGTTGTCATGTGAGTAATTTGATTAAAAAAAACTTTGTATAGATGTAATCTAGTTGTAAAGAAGTCTCAAAATTCAAAAGGGCAAATATCTTCACAAAAGTCGCAGAGCTACCAGAAAAAAGTAAAATGGAAAATACATACAGTATAGTATGTATGTAAGGGCGCACAGTAAATAGAAAATAAAATAAATAAAAGAAACGTGAAATGTGCAGAATAACTAAATACATTGTCTTTTGTAAAAAAAAGACTTACTTCTTTTGTGTCCCAGAAATTCCAAGATCTGTAAAAATAAGAAATGTAAACTGACAGCAGCAGCTCTTTTCTGAACAAATTCCTAACAGTCAGGTTGTTGTGTTATCTTTACAGTGAATTAAATATGAGATAAAATTATGTATTATTCTATTCTATAGAAGGTTTATAGAAGGCAATGCCCAAGGGCTTGACCTACTTTAGTCTCTGAAATCATAAATATTCTGTCAAAATCAAAAAGTGGGCTGAACTGCCCCAAAAGTCAAACACTGGGATACTACACTAAGTTTCAATTCAAGAAAGAAGCATTACGTTACTGTTTACTGTCATGACAGGAGTTTAACTGTACATATCCAGTTCTTCAATACCTCCAATTATAAGAATGGCTAAAAGAGACAGCAGCAAAATATTTTTTATGAATATTGTACACAGTACAGTAGGGTCTCAACATCTGTATTTTAATTTTGATAAATTAGCTTATTTGCGATTTGATCTGGCCAATGGGGTCTTGTAAGAAAGAAGAGCAAGAGAGGGATGAAAGCCAGCTTAAGTTTGTTAAGTCCAATTTTCAAATTAGCCACACATCAGAGTAGGATTGCGAGACAAATCTTGCTCGTGAGTGAGCCTTTCCCAGCCCACTACCTAAATAGTCAATACCCACTATCCACATCTCAGCCTGGTCTTGTTTTTGTACTTTAATGAAAACTCCTGGTTCTGTGTCTGTAGCGCAGGGAATAACAGGCTGGAGATGACTCCACAGGCTCATTGACAGTTATATTGTTGTTTTAATTACAGTAGGGCATGAGAATCACAGAGGCAGAGAGAAAGTGCAGGCATCCGCTGGACACAGAGGAGGGATCCATGTTGTGTATTTTAGCTGATTACATTAAGTTTGTGGCTAATGTTGTTTCTTCAAATTGACCAATATTATATTATTATATTTATGTTTTTTAGACCTACTGCACATACTATATAGTGTTAGCACATCATGGTACAGGCTAGGGGTGGACTTGGTTATATGCAAATTTGGCAATTCCTGATGTTGAGACCCTACTGTAAGCAGTACATGTACTGTACATTTCCTGGATATCACTCCACCAGAATAATCTATATAACCTTACATGCCACAAAATGCAAAAATTATTTACTTGCTTAATAAACAATGCCAGTGCTGTTGTTCAGTATGTGCTCTTTGAATACATGCCTGCAGCCCAATTAACAAACTGCACCGTCCCAATAAAATAAATACTGTAACTAGATGCCTACACAGTCTCAGACACTTGCTATGTTAATACGTACTTCCAACAAGATTTGCCAAGGAAGAATCCAGGTCTCCACCGAGGACTTTACTTGACTGCGCTCCCCCCATGGGGGTACCCATGGAAACCTGGCCCTGGGGCGTCATGGTCGGCATCAGGAGGTCCCCTAATCCATCAAAAACTTCAGGGTGGAAACACGAGGATTAGCGCTGCAATGACTCGGCGAGCAACAGAGATCAAACAGCACCGCGGCACGCTTCTAACCCGGCTCAGAAAGGGTGCGAAAAAAGAGTCAGCAATTAACATGAATTTCAGTAGGAGCACTCAGACCAGCTCACTACATATGAATATGCCAGACTTAGGCAGATAAATATCTTTCACACATCAAACTAACTCCACTGCACTTTTCACTTCATATTTCCCAACTGTAGCTTCTTTAATCCAGAAAAACTTAATCACGTTGCACATGCATATTGAATTACTTTAACAGGAAATGTCTGAATAATGAAAATGTAGCATTTCCTAAGACTTGTTATAATTCAATATCCCTCCACCAAGAAGCAGCATAACCTTAGTCTATCTTAAATAATGAAACAGAAGAATTTATAAATTAACCTTTTGACAAAAAAATCACATGTATTTGATTTAAACATCATTTTTCTTCAACATTCCTATAAATAAAAACAAATGAACAAATGAAAATCATGCTGGCATACGCAAGGCTTAGATTGATTTAACAATCCCAGATTGGAGTCCCCAATGTTCAGTAGTAGAGGAGCACAGACTACAGTGCACAATTCATATTATGCTGTGTAAAGGCTAAGACTCACCAATCATACATTGGAAGCAAGCAATGACCCAGCAGAGAGAGAGAAAGAGTGCGAATGGAAGAAAGAAAAGGCAGTGTTGAAGAATTAAGCCTGAAGCAGTACCAGTTGAAAACCACACATTACACAATCTGAGCAACATACAAGCATTTGTTATGCAAGGTGGGAAAGAAGCTTGAAACAAACAGGGAGGCAGGCAGCTTAGTCCATATACAGTACAGTGTTTCTTTTCATGCACACCAAGGGTCCACTCTTTTACCAGTAAAAGTTCTCCTGAAAATACCTTGCCATTACGTGATATTCTGGTATTATTTAATTTAAAATAATGAATTAAAAGGTGCTTTAAAGCTAAACCACATGTATATAAGATTAATGTAGTCCATATTTATATTTTCCTTCGGAACACTAGAAAAAACTTCAATGGGTTTTAGGCAGGTTTTCGAGTTTTGATTTTAAAAAAGAACGGAGGACTTTTATGTCACCAGATCACAGTGAAATGCCCCTTGTTGCATGTTTCCATCACAATTATACAGCAGGAATTCATTAGACAGAAGCTGTATCCTTAACTCTGTAAGTTTAGAGATTGGGCCAAATACTGACTGGATTCAGAAAAAAAAAATGATTTAGGAGATCAGTGCTGTTTGTAGTATATGATTTTGTTTCTTGTTTTCATTTTTCTTTCCAAACTACTGTGTGTAGTGTGTGTGGAGTTGTGTTTGGTTTGATCACACACTACATATATTGTGTTGCTGCAGACCTTCATTTTCAATCATTCTGAATTGTTAAGGAAGAATCCATATAGAGTGTGTGCTGTTTTATATATTGTATGTATGTTTTTTTTCAGACATTCACTTTTCACTTATAAAGTCAAACACTTTGTGAAGCACTTGGAGGACGAATTGATATGAATATGCGAGTGGAGAGCTGTGTCAGCGAACGCGCAGAATAGGAACAAGCAGAGGTTAATTCCACATTGAAAAGTAACTGATAATGTTTCTTTGTTCCCCTTCTTTACATTTAACTCTGAGAATGAAGTTAAACTCCATTAATTCCCAAATGATGTGCATGTTTCTCCATTTGGAGGGCAGTGTTTTTTTTTTGTGTGGAAAAAAATAATTCAAACAGAAAATATTTTCGGATCCTTAAACTATTCTTTATAAATTAACTAAATGGAAAGTACAAGGGCTATTAGTTCTGACGGGAAGTCATCAAAGCTGAAAACTTTGGACTGCAACTCGACAAATTCAGTCTCGATGCCATCAATTCAGCTTCTTTCACATCAAACAGGTAATTCATTATAGTGAGCTGCTAGAACCTAAGAACAAGGAGCAATATAGCATGACATTCAGCTAGTTTACCAGTTCAATTACCAGTCAGCAACTGGGTGATACTGTGAAGACTATTAGCCATCTTAACTCAAACAACCACAGCACTGTTCACAGGACTCCAGGGGGGTGGTTTTTTTCTTGAAAAAGTGGAAACATTTGGTTCACTCTCAAATTAAGAGCATACACAGGGACCATCACCTACCTGAAGCATCAAAAGAGCTACCGGAGGGTGCTGCTGGTGTTGAGCCAAAAGCCGCGTCAAAGTTGGTCTGCAAGAGGTTGTTCTGGGCTGGAGCCGAGACTGCTGCCGCTGGAGCTGGTCCTGCAGGGCTGGGGGCCATGAACCCGCTCCCTAAACCTGCAGAAGACGTCTCAGATCGCGCCAGCTCAAACACACACCCGACAACGAGGGCCTTGGCAGAAAGCACCTTTTTAAGAATCTGACAAAACGAGCAGCTGCACAATTTCTATAAAAAATGACTCACACTGGCAACTGAGGTTGGAGGAACAGTATGAACATACAAAACTAAAACATTTGCCATTGATAAAACCTGACCAAGAAAACAACATGAATATGGTAAATATGCCAAAGGAATAGTGCGAGCTCTCCTACAGGAATATATCAACTTCAAAACAAACTTCAACTTTAAAAAAAACCAACAGAACAGCCAGTTGGACTAAATAAAATACATTTCTTACTGCATAATTCCATTTAAGAAGCGATTAACCCCAATTCCTTTTCAGGAGGTGACAAAAAAAAATACTGTAGTTTGCCAGAAACGGTTGGCTGAAGGATAGAACAATGACACATTGCCCTTATATTACATTAGAAATAAACAGCTTGCGGTTTATTTCCTGATGTACATTTCTTCCATTTTAAACACTGGCTCACTGATGCGTTTGCACTGGGAACCTTACACAGCAGGGATACACAGATAGCTTACCAGACAGCAGGTCAGCCGATGATGGGCCACTGGGAGCAGCCTGGGCAGAGGGCTGAGACTCGGCAGCAGAGCTTCCAAAAGCATCTACCAGGTAATCCAAGTTGAAGCATGAGGGCAAAAAAGTATTCAGATCAGACGTACATTTTTCATTGAAGAAACGTTCAACAGGCAAGACAGGCAAACCAGAGGGGGCTGTGGGCAGCACTCCAATCTGACTTCTGTATCTACTACGTGAATAAAAAAGACCTTGTGTTTTTCGTCTCTGGGTAGTGGCACACTTGTGTGAAAAACAAAATGCTGTCTCCATTTTCACTACATTACTGCAGATTCCACAATTAGTCACAGCTGGATTGGTAACGTTTTGGGGGAATACTGGAGTTTACACGGCACAAAAACAGAAACAAATTACTAAAACTAAAACAATATATGTATAATATAAAAAAAAATCTGCCCAATATTAAACTATGATCAAAAAAGCCCTATCATCTTCATTAAATTGAAACAAAATAATACTATGTAAAATTTGGAGAGGTTGGCTGAAATAATCAAGCACAACATGCATGCATTTTGTTTGAAAATATGACAATATGACAATGAATAAGTTTCATTCCTTCCTTCTCACTACTGCTGCATGGCTGTGCTGAAGCAGTTGATCACTTTTGTTAGACTGACTAACCATTGGTCATCACACGCTTTTCACTCCTGACCACGATGTGAAAGGTTTATTAAATGTCTTTTTAGTCCATCTACTATATTAACCACCATAAGAAATTCATTTTTCTTATAAAAATGTTTTTATAAAAATAAGATGTATGTGTATTTTGTTTTTTGAGTCATTTTCATTAAGATTTTATGACTCATTATGGCTACACTTTGTTGCATACTGTACTGTAAGTACTAAATCACCTCATTAGTGAGGGAGCTGATGAGGTATTTTAACTTTGCAGAATGTCAAGTCTGGTGAAAATCACAATCACAGAAAGGGACCAATATGGGCATATCTATTCAAGAAAACAAGACCTACATGCCATTGGTAGGCTGGAGCAATACAGGAAAAGCTACCTGCACTGGAGCAAAGTGCTGATCAAGGGCTTGTATAAATATCACCCTAATGGACATCAGTAAGTTCAGTATGATGCAGATGTGCAGAGAGATATGCTAATTGCTGTGTACAGCAGAGTAATCAATGGGGAAGTCCCATTGAGATGATCCAGGCATGAACATCTGGTCACTACAGAACCCCACCTGGAGTTGATAGCTTTTCAATATGCCAGTGCACTTGCTACAAAAACACTGTCATACCTTTGTTGAAACTGCTGCAGTTATAGATGATGTATTTCCCTTTATTCCCAGTACATTAAACCCTTAAATAAGCTGAGACAATCAAAAATGCAAGAGAATTTCAGAAAACACTGCCTTTACAAAACAGGTTTGTTATGAATATTGCCAGTTACAGTAAAGGACAAATGTAACACCAAACAGTAACATTCCGCAATCCCATCCTACTTCAGCAGTAGTAAACCTGGAGAACCTAACACTCACACTGAGAAAATAACAGATTTCAAGAAGCAGGCATTAATTGTCTTGATATTTAAACATTTCTCCCCTACATACCACATTGTAGGTTGTTAGACATTCTATGTACCCACCGGAGTACATAATATCAACAAAGATAACAGAATTAAATACACAGACAAAAATAAAAACAAATCTACGTTTTATCATGCAACCCAACTACCACTGAACATATCTTACTTAAATGTGTAACTGCCTAATAGGTTCAGTCATTGTTAAGGAAAAATAAGATACAAAGCCCTGATGATTTCTTAAGTGTGATCAAAGAACCATCATAATTTTTTTCAAAAAGATTTAAAGCGATGTTTAGATGTGATCTAATAATGATTTAATAAAATGATTTTTTTGAGGCTGTACCTAAAGATAGGCAATGAATTTCTGGATTCAATACAGAGTACATCCAGAGAGTGCATGGAGAAACCTGCTAGAACTGAATTTACATCCAAATTACATTCACATCCAACACAGTGGTACTTCCATTAAAAATACTGACACTGCTGGATGCTGCCTTCTATCTTTTCACTGCATAGGAATGATCAAACAGCATGGAGGTCAACACTAAAGCCCTGAATACATCAACTTGCAGACTGAAGGAAATCGGACTGTTTTATTACTAATGAGCAGAGCAAAGTGATCTATATGGGACAATTTCAAATGACATCAACAATATATATAATTGTATGTTTTGGCAAATGCTTTTTTATTAGTAAAGCCTGCACTAAGATCAACCTATACTGTAGCTTCAGCACATTCTAATGTTAAAACATTCTTCGGACTTTTCACTTTCTTCTTCCCTCTTCTCCTCTTTGAAGGTTTTATTAAACATTAAAACTAAAATTGGCCTAATTAACTTTTAGATTAATATATTTAGACTATAACTAAATATTTAGCTAGTTAGACTTCGTATTTTAATATCACTACTTGTTCTGACAGAACACATCGCAGTGTATCGTATTGTATTCCATGGATATATTGACACATGTCATAGCTCTGAAACAAACCTTCAACAGGTAAATGATCAGCAAAATATTTTCATGTGTGAACGTCTTTCAGGGAGTGCAGTTTATTAATGACCAAGGAAATGATAAGCAAATAAAAATACCAATTAAAAATGGATTTTGACAGCTTCAGAAAATAAATGCCAAGTTATATTAATCATAATGCAGGCAACAACAGCATGTCACATTCCTGAACTGAAAAATCAGACAGATGCTGCTGGGAACCACCAATACACTGGGTTGGCAGCCTGGGATCTTCCAGATCAATTCTTTGCGGAAAAAAATCTAAACTTGTGATTTATTGAACTTGGAGTGTGAGTTATGTGTTTTTTTTGTTTGGTGTACTACTTTTTTAAAATGTCACCAATTTTCAAAATGTAATAAAAGGTGTTTAAACATTGGGATGCAAGGACTGAAGGACAGATAGTTACTTAAAGGACTTCTTTGAAAAGAAGGATTATTGTTCTGTAGGAATTCTTCTATTATAAACTGACCTGTGGTTTATAAAACACATCCTTTTCTAAACTTTCAAGAGTTTTCTCGTAATGTTTTCTGAAAGCAACCAGACTGGAATAGCAGTTCTGTGACTCTGTATTACGCACCCCCAAACAGGTCGAGCACACCTGCAGCATCAGGCTTGGCAGGAGACGCTGCTGGCGCTGGAGTTGGTGCAGAGAATGCGTCCACTGGAGCAGGCGGCAAGAAAGGAACAAGACACGCTTATCAGAAAGAATTGCAGAGCATTCAAAAAATCTCAGAAAGACTGCAGACATCTTAACTTGGCTCTGCCTACTTACCAATATTTCCTAACAACCAACAGGCTCTACGGCAACTTACAATGCTGTATATGGAAAATGAATCTTTATACTTAACTTTTCTAGTAATGAAAGCTGATAAGTTATGAAATGTTGTACTGTACATGCAGTACTATACTGATGCACAACAGACTAAGGTCTAATGAATCTAACCAAATATTTTAAACATAGACATCAAACAAAATCAAAGGAAATGTGAACAAAAATACAAATCAGAGAATCAGGTCAATATTTAGTAAGAAATGTGACACTGTCAGAAGCACAACATGAAGTTTGTATGTTATCCTTGCAGTTTTGATGCATAGACCTGATCAGCCTCCGGAAAGACTGCTGTGGGATTTCCCTGCTCTCTCTGTGAAGCTGCTAAAGATTGTTCACAACTGCCCCCTATTAACGGCACTGATGAGCTGATTCTAAAGATATTCTAGTAGGGTCAAGACAGAAGAAAAAGCTGGCCACAACAAAGCCTTAACATCATTTCTTGAAGTTGGATAATCTTGAACTGCCCTGCTGAAAACCTGACACTTCCAGACTTCCAGGTTTGCAGGAACAGAATAAATGATGGTTCAAAGACTTCCTCATTGTATCACTGAACACTATGTTACATTGTATCACTTACACCTAACCCTAACCCCATCAAACAGCACCAAAGGTATTCCTGAGTTAAATAAGATCCTACCCCATACCACTACACATCCATCCCCCAGTGTCTGGCTTGAACAAGGCAACATAATCACATATATTTCAACTAAACTGTGGAAAAGATACAAAAATCGAATTACTATATAGAGACTAATATTATCCAAAACAGCAGTAAGTTGTATATTAGCAGGTGTGAATCACAGTAAAAGATTGGAAGAAAGAAGTAGGATATAATCAGTTCTTTTTTCAATATAATTAATCTAATTTTTCTATCCAGAGCAATGCAAAAATATGTGTAGCTTGTAGAACAACTTTATCCTATTCACTGAAACCATAAAAACACCACAGTAAATTTCAAGTAAACTGGGATATCATAGAAGTAGTAGACTAAAATGGAAACACCAATGTAAAGTCACTAACTAGGCTGTCAGGCTACCATGTGTGACCAGTACAGCCTGTATGCTATGTGGCACAGACTGTGCTAGAATCAGGAATAAAGCAGAAGGGATGTGGCACCAACCAACTCCCACCAGATTGATGGAGGTGCAAAACGCTGTTTTGGGCATTGTTCCAGAATATCTCATAAATGCTTGATTAGATCTGGTGACAGAGAAGGTCACGACATGGGCAAAACATCCGTGTCATGCTCATCAAACCACTGGTTGACCACATATGTTGTCCAAGTTGAGCTTACCTGGTCACTGAAGGTCCTGCCACACGCACCCCAAAAATCACCCTTATTTCAAGGTTACAAAGGTCTCCTCTTGCAGTCATGCTAACCATAATTATACAACCAGGCCTATCCAGTATTTTCATACATGATCTAAAGAAGGCTTGGATCTTCTTTGCTTAATTAACAAACCTGTGTGGAAGCCCTTGGTTTTCAATTTTTTTTCACATTTACCCAGGTGTTTCCATTTTTTCTGTCCACTCCTTTAATGAAAAATTTCTACCAGTTGAAATACTGATAATAAAAAACACAGAAGACAGAAACTCATTATCTAATGAACACTTTAAATTACTTGGCAAGAAGACAAGCCACAGGGCAGTGTAGCTGAACAGAAAATGGCGAGACAACTCACCAGACAGGAGATCAGCAGTCAGGCTGCTCTCAGGCAAAGGAGAAGGTACGCGAGGAGGAGACGAGAAAGCATCTTCCAAGTTATTGTGAAAACAGGTGAAAGCAAACAGAAGTTTTAATGACCAAGAAAAGAGCTATCTGTTTTTGCTGCAGGTACATGCAACACTTGCACTTCACAACGAAAACAGCGAAGATGAGAAGGAAAACGAATGGCAAAGAATGAAAATTGATCATCAAGGATGGGAAGGCTTCAAAGGAAATAAATCATCTTGATCCTGTACCTGTCGCAAATAGGTCTATGCTAGGTGTAGCATCCTGTTTGGGAGCTGTGGAGGCATTTTGCTCAGGCATAGAATCAAATAAATCTACAAACAAGGACACACACACATTCATTGTAAGTTAGTGCATATTAAAACAAAGACAAAAGAAGCAGAGCACTTCTAAAAAAAAAAAAGCCTTAAAGCACATTTTTCAAAAGCTGAAAATTAACAATCACTACATCAGGAACAAGTAAGAAGAAGCATAACTCCATAAGCTACTCTTGCGGTATCAGTCAAAATAAAAAAAAGTTAGGGAGATGGCTGTGGATACACAACTCGGGTGACTAGACAAAAGAGAAACAATCACCCACTGCCACACGTTCAACTTCCCAAACTTTTTTCTCTTTGACAGTTGCTGCTTGAGTCTAAAAACAAAAGAGGGTATTCAGCAGGTATAAAAATGTACCAGAAAAAAAAGGTTAAAACTTTACCACCAAAGATATCTAGAGCAGGAGGAGCAGCTGTGGTGGCAGGAGTGGAAGTAGCAGTGGTGGTAGGAGTGGGAGCTGCAGGGACAGCACTTGGAGCTGTGCTAGATGTAGGGGTAACTACTGGAACGCTGGTCTCAGCTGGCTTCATAGCAAAAAGGTCCAGTTCTGGTGCAACGTCTGCACTACCTTCGGATGGTGCAAAGGGGTCTTGAAGGGGGCCAGGAAATATGATCAGAGAGGAAGGGAGAGGAGGATGTTATGTTCAACCCCAGTTGGCAACTAATAATCCACAGATCAGAAAAGTACAGTAAAAGAAAGTAAAAATGAACAAAAAAGATAAAACGCTGGCCACCATTAACATTTGTCCTGCAGCCTCGGGCAAATACTGATAACAAGCAAGCGCTGTCTAAAGCTAGCTTTCTCAAACAGCCAAAGGAAAAGCAGCAGTGACTTGTTCTTATAAAGGTAGCTTTAGGTCGGTTTGACTCCAAGGGTATATGCCAGCGGCTGTGTGCAGAATAAAGTTAATGTCAGAGAAAAAAACTAACTCTACTTACAATCTAAGACAATTCTATGCCTTTGTACGCACCATAGCTCCACTTGTGCCGGTTTAAACAAAGCAGTTTGAGTTCCTATCACCATATCACAGATTCACACTTGCTTCAAATTTCAAAGAATGCAGGGTGAGAAGTGAGGGGGAAAAAAAAGACCTTGTATGCATTATCATATTTGTAGCGGCAAGATAACTACATACTTTGGGGTAAAAAAATGGGTCAGTATGAGAATAATCCCATTAATGAAGAAAAAAAAACCTGTTAGACCTGAATATCCACAGGGCGAATGCTAGAGGGTAGGAACGGACCAGTGGGGCAGCTGTAAAAAAACTGAGAATTGAGCGTAAATAGGGTGGAGGAAGGCAGCGTTTGGTGGAAGGCTGGTGGAGGATAGAAGGTATGCAAAATGGTGAGGTACTATCGACATGGAAGGCCTTACTGCACTTGTAGCTAAAGCTACCAAGATCAAGGAGAAACGGTGCTAACCACCTCACCCTACTGAAAAGGGGTCCTACAGAAGGCCCGACCCCGTGACTTGGGCCGGGACCGAGTTCGCGAGACGGGACCCACCAGATCCAGTGCATGCATCGAGAGCTGCAGCCGCAGGAGTGGGAGCGGCTGGTGTGGCGGCCCCCTCGGCCACCGCGGGGCCTTCCCCAGGAGAGCTGGCAAACGCATCTGAGGTCCCGGGGGGAGGGGGGGGGCGTGGGGGAGGCAACAGAACCAAAAAAAAAACCACAGAAGAAAAGAAAGCAACAGGGCAAAGAAATAAGACGTTACCAAACAGTGACAGGTTAAGAAGCTCGTAAGAAGGGACACAGCAAGAACCGTTAGGAACTGGTGGAGAAAAGGTTCTCAGCGCAAAAGTACCGCGAAAGTACTCGGAACTGCAGTCTCGACTCGCTCAAAAGTGACGCTGCAGATTTCCGCATTCAAACCAACTGGAAAGATAACTCTATAATCTAAATTTAATGAGGGCTGATATTTTTTTTATTGCCTTAGCAGGCAAAGAAAAATGCTGCGTTTGTGTTTCCAAACGGCTGAACTGTGCAAATGATTGACATGCCTGTATGATCTTGGTTTCTAGACCAGCCTGCGTGTAAATCTTCCAGAAATCACTGGGACATGTTCAGATGTATTTATGGATGTATTAATAGAACTCAAATCAGAAGGAGATTTTAGTTTTAAATTTAAAAAATGAAGAGAAAAAGCCACACTGCATCTTTGGCACACTGGCTTTAAGCTCAACCGAGGACATAGCAAAGTCAAAGAAGCAGTATTTGTTTTTGCTGAGAAGCCAATTTCTAATGCAAATAAGGATTTCAAACCGTTCAGTTAGCTTTCAAGGAAATTGCAGAATAAAACATTCTTACCAACAATTCCAATTAAATCACTGGAGACTTAATAGTAACTTACTTCTTAACCATACTATTGAGAGGGGCTTATTTAACAGTGCTGTGGGATTTTAGCAGACAGAGTAGGACCACTCTTAAGCACAATAAAACATATGGTAGTTTTAACATACAGTAGTATATTGGACAAACAGGCATTTATTTTTGTAGTATGCTGTATGTACAGTATACTATACACCTTATAGTTCCTGTCTTAAGGATCTGCTATATCTATATATATATATTTGTGCATACCGCAAAAGAAACTTATTGGTTGGAAAAAGCTTTTGTTTGAATAATGAATAAACCACATAAGAAACCCCCTGGTCAAACTGAATGGCAGAAACAGAAATACACTTCTGAGAATCTGAGATATCTGAGAATATTTACACATGGATGAGGCCTTCTGCAACTTCCCTCTGGAAACATTGGGAAGAGAGGCAGAAGAAGCACAGTAAGAGAAAAAGAAAGGCCAAGCTGAAACCTGGGATTCGACTAGTCTGAGGTCCCTACAGTACCTCCCTGAAGTTTAAATCCAATTAGCTGCGGTCTGGGCTTCTGAAAAATGTGTTCCTGACAGAGGTCTATAAGATTTGTCATTATTTTAGAACTTTGTCATAAAAACTTTATTTTTAACAACTGCAATAACAGGAGAGCAAAAAAGGCAGCAGAAAGATATTTGCATTTTAAATAATAGTAAAAACAGATGTGGTGTACTCCCTTCCCTTTCATCTATATTTATTCATGGAATGGTAGGTACTGTACAGACCAAATGTGAATCACTTGCACTGATTTGAAAATCATTTCATATATTTTTAGATAGAAACATATCCGCCAGGAGGCATGGTGGAGCAGTGGTTAGCATTGCTACCTGACAGCGCTGGGGCCCCGGGTTCAATTCCTGAACTAGGGTGCTATCCGACTCCCTGTGGCCACATGAGTTTACTCCGGGTGCTCCGGTTTACACCCACAGTCCAGAGACATAGTGGTGGATTAATTGGCTTCTGGGAAAACTGGCCCTGGTGTGAGTGTGTTTGTGTCTGTGTGTGCCCTGCGATGGACTGGCGTCCCGTCCAAAGCGTACCCTGCCTTGCGCCTGTTGCTTGCCGTGATGGGCTCCAGCTCGCTCACGACACTGAATTGGAAGAAGTGGTTAGTAAACAGCTGGATGGATATATGCACCAGTGAGCTTACAAAGTCTACTAACTGTCCATCTTAAAAGTACTTCATTTGTCCCATCTCCTTCAGACGAAAAATGATCCTTAAAGAAATGACCTTTTATTGTTTTTCCAGGGGCAGTTCACAAGTCTGATTACTTCCCCTTAATTACAACTGCACCACGTGACACAAGACTAAACTAAGGTGTTCGGTCTTTGGGAATCAGCGGCTTTGACACTTCTCACTTTTGCTTAATTCTCATTTTCGAAGACTGTACCACAAGGGGCCGAAGACAAGAGAGACCCCCCCCACCGAAACACGGACAACGCGGCTCGTGGGTGAAATGTGGGAAAGGCCCCGGTATTGGCCGGAGGATAAAAGACCGTTACTTCTACACAGGGGACAGAGGTGTTTGAATGAGCTTCCCGCCGACTCGCTGACGCAGAGGAAGAACCGTGAAGCCGACTGACCTCCAAAGAGATCCACGTCCCCGGCGGCGGCTGCAGCAGGCGCAGGAGGTGCCACCGCTGCCGCGGGAGTGGGAGCCGCGACAGGAGCGGGAGCAGGAGCTGGAGCAGTCTCGGGCGCAGCGGAAGTGGGCGCGGCAGAAGTAGAGGGGGCGGGGGTGGATTCTACTGCATAGGGGTCAGAAAGGAGTGTCTCGGAGGCACTAACAGGGACCGGAGCTGACAGAGTGTCTGTCGGAGAACCAACCACCCAACAACCCCCCCCAGAAAAAAAAAACATAAGGGAGGAGAAAAAGGGAGGGAAAGAGAAAAAGAAGTATGCTGCTGAGATCAGATCTTGTACCGCTCAGTCCTCATTGAAAGAAAACACAAAAAGAGCAGGAAGAAAAACGACAGTCTGAGTCAGCGGGTCACGGCGCACAGAAACAAGACACTCGTCATCTTGTGTTACTCACCCTCCCCAAGCAGGTCTGGAGGGACGTCCAGCGCCAGGCAGGGAGTGGCGAGCAGTGAGGTGGAGGGGAAGAAAAGACAGTGGAAAATAAATACACATGCAACTGGCTAAGGCCCTGAGCAACATTCAGTAACATGTGTATAATAGCCTGCGACCTAATGTGGTTTACAAGCAGAGAAAAACCAAATAAGCTCAAAAACATTGTTCAATTCTGCATTTTTATGTAGACATCCACCAGACAGAAACGTCTCTGAGTACCTTAAAATCCAGAAAGGATTTTAAAGCTGAAAGCCAAAAATGCAGTTAATGGTATTTGCCACCTTTAAAGCACTTTACAATGTTGAATAACAACCTGGCACCTAACACTTAAAGCAATCTCAATCATAGCCAAGGAAACGGGGGAGAAGACATAGAAGAACAAAAGGTTTAGATGCACACTGGAAAGAATTAAAGCACTTAGTATATTGAACTGGTTGAATGAAACTTGTTAACTCTCAGTTTTATTCGGCACTCTTCATGCGCTGGGCTGGGATGACAGCTGCAGAAACCGAATGCAGCCCCTTGATCATGAATCCATGAGCTTAATATTACTCGTATTTTTCCCTAATTATAATGTACATACAGTAAGCACTTCACAGTACTACTCCTCAACTTCAGACCCATGTACAGTACAGCTGTTACCATACTTACAGTGGAAAATCTTGTGTTTGCCACCATGAGTTTCCTTGGCATTGTTACTCCAATACTACTAATTTCTATATAAATATATATAAAGATTGCAATAATTTATCTTGCATTCACTATGCTGCTCAAGGGGTTTACCATGAATTTAAGCAAGTTTTCTGACCCCAGACTGAAACAGCATCAGGGTTTATCATAGGGAATGGTGAAAAGCACTACACCACTATACACTATGTTTCTAACTGGGAAATACATTTAGCACATTAAAGCGCACTACAACCATGAAAGGGCACGGAAGGACTGGAAATGCAGAAGACTAGTATGTTAAAATGCATCTTTCACGAGAGAATTCAAAGCCAGTGTATTTTTAACACTTGTTTGTCCCCTACTATTATCCACATTATACAAACACCCCAAAGACAAGTGAGGGCAGCACATTGACGTACACTATACAGTGATTTGATCTGTTTATTTGAACAGACGCTCTGAAATACAGTCATGGTCAAAGGCAGATTCCCGGATGTTCGGTGAGCTGCCTATTTTCCAGCAGTGCCCGGGAAGCCGGGGATAATAAAGACCCCCCCTCTCCGAGCAGCGCGGTTCATCTCGCCGGGAGCAGCGTTTACTGTACCTCCCCACGCGCTGGAGGCTGTGGAAGCCGACATCCCTGCAGCTGCTCCGGCCGGCTGCGTCGTCCCAGGAAAGTCGGGCTGCAGGTCCAGCAGGTCGCTGGATGGCTTGGCTGCACTGAGGAGACAAAAGGAGCACAACGTTCTGGACTTTAAAAAATAGCCATCAACAATATCTTATCCCCCACTTGTCTTTTTCCTGCAGACTGTGAGCAGCCAACTCCGGTTAATTCATCAGCACATGCTGTGAACTTAATTTATACCTCTGCAGCTCATCTGCCAATTAGACATGCTTCTCAAAAGCGGGATTTACATTCACCACGAATCCAATCGCTTAACTGAAATTAAACTGTGCTGTGCTTTTCAACATGTAACACACTGTTGTTCAATTCAGAATAAAAGACATCCTTAACAGGCACTTCAGAAAATGAGGTTCACAAAGCTTAAAAAAACATACAGTTATATAAATCCACAACAATTACAATCAAGTATCAGCATTTTGCATTGTTACCATGGATCCTTAAGTGTTTTGCCTGTTTTCACAACTTTCTTCCACTGTGAGAGGTTTATTTTAATCATTCTGCCCTGGAAACAAAACACTCACACTCATGGAGCTTTTTCATCACCAATGTTCAGGGTGGATATACAATGGGTGGATCAGTTGAGACTCTTGCGGTAAAAAAAACGGTCTGTTCTAATGCTTAATCACTGCCTTTCACGTCTCTTTGTTCTTTGTTCACCTCTCTTTTGACCACAAAATGTCTTCTGGATTTAGCAAATCTGCCAGCAGCCATATCACCCTGCAACTCACTGCAGGCAGGCCACTGAAACTAAGTAGGTGAGAGACTGGTCAGTACCTGGATGGGGAAGAAACTCCTGGGAAATCTAAGGTTGCTGCCGGAAGAGGTGTTAGTGGGGCCAGGAGGTGGCGCTCACCCTGTGACCTGTGTGGGTCCTAATGCCCCACTATAGTGATGGGGACACGCTACTGTAAAACAACGCCATCCTTTGGAGGAGATGTAAAACTGAGGCTACTGACTCTCTGTGTTCATGAAAACTCCCAGAGTGTTTCTTGAAAAGTGTAGGCATGGCCTCTTAATAAACCCCATCCATGTGGGTGCTGCACATTGGTGGTGATGGAGGGGATCCCCATTATCTGTAAAGTGTTTTGAGTTGAGTGTCCAGAAAAGCGCTATGTAAGTGTAAGGAATTAATAACTGTTATCTAATCATCGTGGGCCCATTCAAAAGGATTTTACTAAACGGTATGAGTTCTCTTTGATGTTGAATGCTTTGAAAACTAAAGAGATGATCATTGATTTAAGAAAAATGAAACACCCCTCTAACCTACTGTAATTAATGGTCAGTCTGCAGCTGTAAATTACTACAAGTCCTTGGGACTGGACTCATGGCCAAAACCTGAGAGGGGACAAATGTTGTGACACCGTTTAGAAAAAAAGCAATCGTGACTACTTTAAGGTAGTACTTTAACACTCTTCTACAAATCTTTCATTGAAAGTGTTTGAACATATTGTTGTTCTTTATGGTTTGTACCATCAGTACTGTTCACTGCAATAGACTGTGAAAATTAGTAAAGGTAAGCAGCAAAATCACTGGGGCAAATCAAATAAACCAAAATGCCCTCTGGAAACAGAGGGTTCTAAACAAGACCGAGAGCATCATGGAGTGCGTGTCTCATCCCCTCCACTGTGAATCTATGCTACTCCCATCTGGAAGACACCTCTGTGTCCCTAGGGATAGACTCAGGAAGACTTTCATCCCCAGTGCAATCTCTCTCTTAATCCATGCAAAAATAACTCTCTTATCTCCGGAAACACTGTTATAATGTTCTCTTTGTTGGTGACATTTGTTGTGTTATTATTGTGCTGGACTTTGCTATTTATCACATTTTCCCCAGGGGTGAATAAATGAATTAAATTATGTTCTGTGGCTATCCTACTGCTGAACTCAGGTTTTACTTAAAGGTAAAACCTTAAAAGGTTTTACTTGTATCTCACCGGGAGATACAATGCCATGGTTCTTGCCAGGAAAAACACACTTTATTCTTCCGACTGTAAATATTCACCTTCAGCCTGGATACATCCAATTCCAACCTTGCATTAATCTAAAATCACTTGAATTGACTTGAACCCACAGCACAATTAAATTCAGACTGCAGTGAAGCACGTATTCATTGTTTCCACGGCTGTGTCTGTTCAGTGCCGTCTTAGAATCAACACACCATGCTCATTCTCACCTGGAAGCTGCAGCTGATGACGATGGGGAGGAGAAAAGATCGACCACAGGAGCCACATCAGTGGTTTTAGCTGGAGTGGAAGGTGGGGATGCAGCAGTTGGAGATCCCTGTGACACAAAGAGCATCAACGTAACTATGCCAATATATATATACAGCACATACTGTAGCATAAAGGGAGCGAGCAATAATACTAATTTCCTGAAGTTTCCATATCTGCTCATAGTTGGTGATAACTTGACCAGACTGGCACAAATCCCCTTACTCCACTAAGAGAGTGGACTTCTGACTCCCAACTCTTCAATACCTTAACCAATCTGCGTTTGCTGCATTTGACAATGAATCATCTTTGTCAGCACTGACATTTGTGTTTTAACACAACGAAACAAAGAGATGCAGTGCGTATTCAATTCATTGTGAATGAAGCAAATCTTTTTGCAGCTTGCAGCAAAGTGCTAGATTGTCCCGCACAAATGTTAAGTGTTAGGGTTTGAGACACAGCTTGTCTCTGGATATGGCGGACAAGCTATGCTATAGACCACTAGAAGAAGACCACTCATGACAGCTCAGCTCAGACTAATTTTGTGAAAGTGCTCCTCAGGAAGGTGAAGGAGTTTTGTAATGAGGGAATAAGCACAGAAGGTTCATGTCCAAGATTTCTATGGACAAAGTAATGAAGAACAGGACACAGAAATTAACCACTAACAATGCAAAATAGAACACTGCTGACAAATCTATGTAGAAATATACTAAACTCTATACTTCAATGCTTGTGAAAAAATATCAAGAATAGATATGCCTCCCTACGGGAATTAAGTACAACTATAAAAACCTTCAGAAGTTACAGAAACTGCGCACGCAGTTACACTTTCAAGAAAATTAAGAATAGGTCAATTCAAAGCTACTGGAATGAAAAAAAAAACATTTCAGTTGATTAGAACCTAAAACAATCCAATACTTTACAAAAATAAAGATTTTAAAAAGACTTAAGAGTCTTTAAGTGCTGTAATTTCCTGTTTATTTGAACACACAGTAAAGGTCTGATGACTTTCAGGATATCTGCTGTGCATTGTTAATTATGGTGACAGAGACAACTACTAGTCAATACTGTAGGTGCATATAGTAAAGTTACAGAAAAAGTGTGCATTGAAAATAACAATTCAGAAAGGAAAACTCACCTTACTTGGTGATCTACAAACAAAGAAAATAATGTAAAAAGTCAGACAAGCTAAGAATCATTGTCAAGAAGTGCAAAAAAAACGTGTTCAATAAAATAACATTAAATCTACCCATACAAGGCCTGTAACTAGAAAACACAGTGAAATAAGTTTTTAGGAAATAATATAATACATCACATACCATTCAAGGTCTTCTTAGGTACAGGATTGTATTAACAGCACTACTTTCGTTTAGGAAGATCCTGACTTTAATCAAAACATCTGTGTTCACATGCAGCGCTGTATACAATTCTTTTAGTTGATGTAATCAGACTGCATCTGACTTTAGATTAGATTCATATTTCAGCCAATTTTCAGTGTTACTTTTACTTAACATTACTTACCCCTCACTGTCCGTTCCAGGAAGGCAGAAAAAAGAAGAAGAACTGCAATCAGCATTCTTACTGAACAGAGTTCGGGGCTATAACGCTGTCATTTAAACAAAATAAAAGCTGGTTTTTATCAACATAATATATACAGTAGTACTGACATTTGATTCACCTTTTCTGACATTTCAAAAAATTGTATTTCTAAAATAAAATGAATGCAGAAAGTGATCTGCAAAAGAATAATAATAACAATAATAATAGCATTTTGTTGTTGAAAGAAGAGTAACATTTTGAACATTTATATACAATGCATTTTAAACCCCACTGAGCATTACAAATAGAGTAAAGCGTCATAAGAACAGGAAAAAATTAACCTCATTAATGATTTTAAATAAAGTTATAAAATCATACTTTGCTTGACTCACAGAGTCTCTTTCTATAGTTTAATTACAGCAAATCTGATCATGCAAAATAAAAAAACACTACAATCAGTTTTCATTTTAAACCCGATTTCTACCTGATGAATGAAAACTTTCCCAAAATAGCAAATGAGAAAAGGGGCAAAAAAGCACTTACTTATTTCCTGCCTTTTTGCCTTCCAATGTGTTAAGGTGCTGTTCTAGGGTCTCGAGGAGACTGCTGGGAGCCTACAAAGTAGTAAAACACACGCCCATTATAATGTTATCATAGACAACTGGATTAAAACAATAAGGGGGGGAATCATACCTGAGAAAAATTCCCTGAGTCAGCCCAACCTTTTGCCACTATTTCCTTGAGGGAACAGAACACATGCACATGCTTATTTGTCCCCCATGTGCACAGCACCACACTGTCCAAAATGCAGCTTCATGCTACCCAAGCACAACAGAGCACAGCAAGCTTGCTATCTGCCAAAATGACCACAGCACATTACAGCTGATGGACCTCCAGGTGAATATTATTACTTCTGTTGCCTCATTTTTATTTCTGTTTCAGATCAAGCGCTTTAGATGCTGTGGAAAGGTATTGTAATTAGATCCCCAGGCACAAGGCTGAGCTGACGAGAGACAAATGGGAAAAAAATAAGAATCAGTTTTCAAGGACAGAAGAGGATGAGCAGAAATAAAAATGGATCATCCCAAGGAAAGTTCAGACCTACTATTCACTGTAGACAGAAAACAAACATTCCAATTTTAGTTCTCAGGGCAGATTAAAACTCTCAAGTGACAGTTTCAGCAATTGTGCTACTACTTATTACCACTTCTAATTGATTTATATCTTCTTATGTATAGAAGTTAAGTTACATAGGAATGGAATGTGGCATACATTTTAAGGCATATTAGTTTTTAAGACCTCTTAATCTATATTACAGATAAAAACAGGCTAGGAATGTTTTAAACAGTTCTTCCGGCATTATTTTAAAAATCTATCCGTTTTTAGTCAAATCAAAATTACAATTTAGAATCCAATGAGCTGAACTGAACTTATCGGAATGAACTTACGTTGTCTGCAGATACCATTATTTCTTCTGTTAAATATGATGGGTGCATTGAAACTATATCCTTCACAGTGTATCACATTACACAGATACAATGAAACAATATTAAATAATTAAATAATTTATTTTAATAGTTTAATGATGCACATTACCGAGATACAAAACAAGTGTTTTTATCAATGTACTGATCAAAGATTTGGTGGCATTTTCAAATAGCTAGTCCAGATGGAACAGTAGAGAGGACACAGAAGAAAATGTCAAAAGGAAATGTTTCTCATTCTAATCAACTTTATTAATTCTAAACTTTTACTAATGCAGCTAAATTCAACTGGTGATTTATGTCTGTTATATAAATAGCTTCAATAGAAGCACTTTTTTGTGTGCTCTACATATTAGAAAAGGTTGAAGTTGTGGAGCGGGGTGTCAGGTAAAGCAGACAATGCTGACTTACTATGTTGCACCTTCTGTTGTGTGGAAATCTTTTGTTGACCTTAATTAATGGTAATCTTGGATGTGGACAGTGGTTTAGGGAGATAACAACTGTGATACCCAGCAAAACACATGATACGTAGGCTGGAACTATAGTCAGAAACATAATCCAAAGGCTCTTTAAAGACTAGACCTGCCGTGCGTCTGAGAAGAAAATTCAAGGAAGAAAACAAGATTTAGCCAAGAACCTGGTGCCAGTAAAATCCCCTATTGCAAATATATTTGCTATTAGCTGTAAGATAACTCCCATAACTGAGAACATACTGCCAAATGCATGGTAATAAGAAGAAATTAAAGAAGAAGAGGGAGCTGTTCTGTGGTGTGGGGGTTAGCACTGCTGCCTCATGGATCAGGGATCCTGGGTCCAGTTTTGGCCGTGTGCATCTGTCTACATGAAGTTTGCATATTCCTCCTTGTTGATGGGAGTTTTGAAGAGAGCTCATCTTCCCCGTACTATTCTGACTTGTTGCTTTCTCCGTGATCTTGGAATAGACTGGGATCTTTTCTAGGTGTAGAGCAGTTGGGTGGTCTTAGTCCCACCTTGTGCCCTATGACTCCAAGGTAGGCCCCAACTGGTCACAACCTTCATCCAGACACACAGTAAACTGATAATAGATCATTGGTGTGATAAAAGGCTGATAGAAATGCACTGAGAAAGTGAGCATGTAAAGAAGACTTAAGTGTGCACATGTCACCACCAATATACTGTATAAAGCGAAGAAGAAAGAGGTGACCACACCCACAATTAAAACTCAGAACATAGACAGTTATTCAACAGACAAAGCCCTTTCACACCAGAGGCTGGTGAATAACTAGCACTGCACACAAAGGTTACCGGTTCATCAACATGACAGTCCTTAAAGGGAGAATTCTCATTGTCAGAGTCTTTTAGGTCTACAATGATTCCTGGGTGCAATACCTGCAGTATGCATGTTAAAGACAGGAAACAAAAAAAAAATAAAGCAGTGAACTGCTGGAAAAATTAAAAGCTTTAGCACTTAATTTCCATTTGTGCCCCTAGGCCCTAGATTCATTATTAAAATATTAAATATCTGGATTAACTTTAACTTTCCTATGTTTCAGGATTTTAAATACTCCTATTAAGTCTGCTCTTTATCTCCTCGGCTCAAAACGGTCTTGCTCAAGGCTTAAGACAGATTACAAATGAGCGGAGGACACTCAGCTCGTCTAGCTGGATATTAACTAATTGATCCAAGGATCTCATCCAAATATTTATTCAAAGAAGTGACGGTATCAGCACAAACGTCATGGATGGGTGTCTTGCTCCTGATCCCTACAAACCAATGTGTAAAAAAAGTGCCTCTAATTCTCGGTTTTAAATGTACTCCTCTTTAGTTTCCACTTGTATCCTCTGGTTTGAGTTTTACTGTTGATTCTGAAGATGTTCACTAGGTCGCCACTGCCAATGCTCTTGTAGTCTTCTCTGTTCAGGACTACAGGGGGCTACAGATGGATTCCAGAGCGGCAAAATCTTTTTTGTAAAGTGGTACCCAACATTTGACAGAATACGCTAAATGGGATCTTACTTTACAGTTTTAATATACCATTCCTTGATTTAAATTTGAGACTTAAACAACATGTCCTTACTTTGCTGTAGTGGAGATGTAATACAAAATGCTAACTTTGACTAACCCTGATCCAGGAACCCCACAATCCAGCAGGACTGACAGGTCACCATTGAATCATCAATTTGTAAAAACCGATGGAACACATGTGAGCTTGGATCAATTTAGTTAACTGATCCAATTAAGTCAGGAATATCAACTATGGTCCTTGAGAGCTACATGGATTAGTATTTAGCAAGCTCTGTTCTTAAAGAAATCACCTTCTTCAGAGATGAAAATGAAATTGTTCTAAGTATTTAGAAATTGAAGATTTAAGAGTGAGCAAAAAAAAACACTGTTGGATAGTGGCTCTCCAGGACCACCCTTTGGCCTAGAAGAGAAAAATGATGTTTCAATATACTGTAAACAATATACTTTTTCATAAGCAGCTTCTTACACATTACTACTTCTTATGTCACATTTTTAATGTTACAATCAATGTATCCATGAGAGACATTCTGTTTAATGTTGTGTGTTTTGGTTAATGTTATGGTTCTGTTCCTTGTTTATAAATATGTATCACGATTTCACTCTAATTTCTCTTCCATTCAAAAATAAGCCAGAGAAAAAAAGAACTTTTTAAGCCTTAAATTTGACTTAACAATGTCTTATTTCCTGACAGTATCAAGTATGAAATATTTTTATGTTACACATTGTGCTTGTGTATTTTAAATGTCACCTGCAAGGTGTTTGCCAAGTTTTGAATTCTGTCTACATCTTTTTGGTTTTCCTTGGGCAGCCTGTACATTGTTTACTGATCCCCCAAAGGAACAAACCTGCTGTGATGCAGAAATATGATCATCCTTATCCTACACACACTACCTTTTCTCTGTACATCTGATATTTGTTGATTTACCGTATTAGACTAAAATGTATATTTTATAGAACCCAGGTATATTTATAGAGTCGTCTGTCGTTTGTGTGTTGAAATTCATATTCACAAGGGAAACTCATTTTAAAAGTGAAAGGCTGAAAACATGAAGCATTCAATGATTTGAAATGTTAGTAGCTGCATTTCAAAAACCGGACTGGAAGACATTGCATTTTCTTTGAAAAGTATGCATTTTGGTCACCTCTCCTAGCTGGGCGATTTACTAGTTTAGCACCTTGGGTAATATTCTACATGCTGGTATGGGTGGGAGGTAAGATATTTTTGACTTGGTGTCTCTTGTGGCTTGTTATCATGTAACAGATGCCACTCCTTGGTTTCCTGTTTGCCTTTATGAAACCAGTTTTAAGGTATAAAAGTAGTTTATGTCCAATACTTGGCCTTTTGCTACCAAAGGTTACAACTTAAAACTGTTTATGTAGCCAGGACAAAGTTTTCTAAGGTTTTATTAAAAAGTGTAGAGATGGCATATCTGAAAAAGGAATTAATTTGAAACAGTAAAATAAAGAAATAAAGCAAAATAAAACTAAATTGGATTTTTTTTTCTTTTTCAGAAACAATTCATTGGTTAAAATTTTGCAATACTAAATCAGGTGTGGCAAGTTTTTAACCAATGCCAATCTGCTTCTACAAACACACTCAGATGAAGAGAATAAGAACAGCACACACTTTCTGCCAGATCATTCACCCTCGGGAGCAAACATTCACCGAGTCATCCACCAGTTTGACGCTGTGAATTCCACAGTGCCCACAGCTTAGCTGGCACTGACTGGAGGAACAGTGCAGCTCTCACTGACAACAATGAAAGCTTACAGGCTCCCACGGAGTCAGAGGGGTAGAACTGCCTGGCCAGCTCAGCCACACCCACCCTGACAGCCCATAGCCAGCTGCGTGCTGACTCCTGAATACATACAGAACAACAGCGTCTTTTACCGCTTCATCTGACTAATGAACCTTACGTCATAATGTAAAAAGTAACAATGAGTATGTGAAAACTATACAGTAACTACAAAAAGTCACTTTTCTACATGATAACAAGATGTTAGAACAGGTAGAACAGCAGCATTTTGTTTAATTTTGAATTGAATTTGTCCCCCAAAGTGACATTAAAAACACATCATGTTTAAGTCAGGTAACATAACCTACAATAAGAACTACCTTAATAAGCAAAACAGCAAGAAATGTAATCTGGCTTAACAAGCAAAACACACTCTCATGCCTTACACATAGGGAACAGCCAAGTGGCAGTAAATGTTTTTTTTAACAACTGTTTCATCAAATTGGCATGGAGCTAAGTATTAAAATGAAATGACAACCAGTGGGAACACATTTTAACATCAAATGCTAACCATTGAGTCAGAGCTTGCCCCAGATCACTGGTAACCTGAAGCTGTGAAATCAATAATTCATTACACCTCTGCTCAATTAAACCTACTTCAAAAAATTTCTAAATAGTATAAATTCAATATTTACTAATTAGTGCTTTTTAAATGAGACTTATCTCCACAGAGATTGAGAGAACTGCAGAGTGATTTTAAGTGGAATGTAAAATATTCAGGTTGGTTAACTGAGTATCCACACCACAGTACAGTTCATTTTCACAGGGACTTTTATCCAAGTGGTGAATTGCTGAGAAAAAAAGTATTAATTGAGTGATATTGCAAGTGCTGTTCTTTCAAGCTGTGATGTACACTTGTGATGTGTGAGCAGTTGTCACAAATGTGGTCTAAATGATTTTTTAAAATCACCATAATGAGAAATAAGGAAACAAGGAAAGCCAGTTATCCTGTGGATCATCTTTTTCTTTACTGTTGATTGTGTTTTGCCCCAGACTTATGCAAACAGTAAATGTGAAACATGCAAAGTCACCCCTGGCATTTCCTATTTTTAGCATCTGCTTTAAGCTTTGATGAAGCAAATGCTCTTGCTTGTAGTATAACCCATTAGTGCATGCGTTAATGCAAATCATCAGACTGCTCCATCTGCAAGGTTTTTTTAAAAAAAACTCTGAGTCAATAGAGCTTCCACAATATTAAATGTCTGTAATTTTTATAGCTATTACTTGATTGTGCGTAAATGGCACCATACTGACATTTGAAACTACAATCCACTTTATATATACATATCACAATTGTGAATAAACTGCTAAAGAGTGATTTCAAGTTTGATTTTTTATTCCTTTTAACATTATGGAAACCCTATGTTAATATTCCAGTGGACTAAGATATAATTGGTCAGATCTACTGAAAATTAAAGATCCCGTGCATGTTTTACTTAGGACATTTCCTGATCAAGAAAATTGTGAAAACAACTTTAGTCAGATCGAAGTCCACTAAAGAAGAATATATCTCGCTGGTGCATTTTGTTATCCAATTCGGTAACCAATGTCGGTATGCCCTGTGCTTTCTTCAAAGCATTATGCGCTACTCACACGCTCAATCTTTGGGATCAATCTGGTTTTTTTAATGGTTGATTGAAGGGGCGTTTTTTCTATCATTAACTAGAACCAGGCTCCACATTCAGGGTAGAATGACTGCTTGGTGCGAGACGATCTCCTTGGACCACACGAGCCCCAGCTCAGCAAGAACAGATAAACTGAAGAACTGGGATTTGCAAGTATCCGTGGGGCAGGAAAGCATAAAACGGTGAAATAAGATCTATGGTAAGTAAACCCCAGAAGCAGGCTACCATGTTTCAGAATTTGTCATGCAATGTTAGTACATGTACTAACATGTACTAACTTGCATGTGTCTCCTCAAATTTGGTAATATATTATGATGAAAATGGGAAAAAATACTAAACTTACATAGGTCAGGTCAGGAATGTCACCTTTATCAATCCCTACTTGCTGCATAAGAAGAAAAAAAAGGAGATATCAGTTGAAACATGTTTATAAACACACTATACCAGTTATACCTCATTCGCTTATACTGTATAAATTCTAAATAGGCTTGTCCCTTTTACTGCTTTAAAAAAAAAATACAGTTTTTATTCCTGGACAATGCTGGGTAAGATCTGAAGATTTCTGAAGCTGAAAATATGAATCTATAAAGTTCTGAGTTTATTACATTTTCTCTACAAAACCATTTCATAGTACAGTAAATGGCTCAGTTTTTGTTCAGTTTAGTACACACTTTAACAAAATCATATATGATCATGTAAAACAATGTTTAGTCATACAGATTTCACAAATCATACATTTCTTACCTCAGCTACTTTAAGGAACTCCGACACCCTCGTCATTCTTGTCAGGAACCTCTTGTAAATCTCTAGTGCTTCCTTGCACTGTCCTTTCTTCATTTCAAAAAATTTCTCTGAAAAAAAAAGAAAATCACTCTCCTTCAGACTCTGCCCCAAATGCACTATACATCATACATTATTATATTATACATTATATGCATTTACCATTGATATGAGTCAAATAACAAGACCTGTTTCTGCATGGCTTTCCTAGTATATAACCCCATTCTCTAAAATGTTTTACTGCACAGGCATTTAGGTGAAAACAAGTTGTATAAACAACAAAAAATAGCCAACGAAATTCTAATTGTTGAAATTACACAAAACCTTTTTTGAATTATAAAAATTGCAAGTATTTAAAATATCACAGCTGTTAACTGTACTTCCTTTTGTGAATAAGAAGAAAATGCACTGCACCATCACAGAACAAAGGACAGAAGACCGAATCTGGCTACAGGTCACAACTTAGTAAAGGAAAAGAAAAGACTTGCCTAATAAATTAATGATCCCATCATTGTAACACGCAAATAACTTAATAAGATCCTTAAAAAGGAGCAGAAAAGCAGCATTGATTACACCATTTGTCAATTCATTGGGGTGAACCTGTTGAGACAAAAAAACATAAATATATATTTTTATTACATAATATCCAGAATGACTAATTCAATGAACTGAAATGCAGTATTGAAATGCTTCATTTAATAACTAAGCTGTGGATTCTGGTCATTTCCCTGAACCTGTTGTTCTGAAAAGAAAGGTCCTAATTGATGTGCTCCAAATCACCTCATCCACATTCGTTATAAAGTTACCTAAAAAGCTGCATAGAAGTTAGTGTGGACTATCAAAATCAACTGCAAAAGTGAACCCTGAACTCTTTCTCCGAAACACATGGGGAAAAAATCACAGGTTAATCCACTGTCGGTTAGTTTTGTGGCCTAAAATAATTATTTTGTCTCATGGTAACAGATTACTTAAGATAATTAATATAACATATTTAGTATAAACCATTATTAGTAAATCCACATAACAAGAATTTAAGAGTGGCTTCACTAAAGGGAAAAAACAAAACAGTTCATTGCTGTCGATAAATCCACTTAATGTACACGTGAAGAAAAGCGAAGTTTATAAAAAAAAACTGCACTACAGACATTTTATATATTTTTATATATATTTTAATTTAGTAAAATAATCACTTGAATGGCGGTACATGGTTATTAAACTTTGCTAACGTACTAGTAAATCAGGCATAGTATATTTTATTTTCTACAGTATATTTTGAGTTGAGAAATTAAAATCAGAGTGTGTTATAAGCCAGAGAAAATCAGTTTGAGAAATGCTCATGCTTTTATTTCTACTAATGAAAATTATTTCACAATTCAGTTAGTTTGATTTAAGTTATAACAAATTATGAATTTCTATCATAATCTTTCCAATTCTTAAACAATTCTGAATTCCTGACTTACATCAAATTCTAGCAGTGCATCAATTTGTCCTTGTAAAATCGGCATTCCTTTTAAAAGTTTCTCTGGAGTCATAGTTCTCATAACGCCATCAGCACTGCAAGACAGACAAGAAAAAGAAGTCAAAAAGCCGTCTGGATTAAAAACATTTATGTTTTTGTCTCACACATGTTAGGCAGCAATCATACTGCTAGGAATTAAAATAAAACACGGGTATGAAACAAATCCCTTGATTTAAATTTGATGCGTCTAACTATAACTTTAACACCATTTTATTCACTTTAATTATTCTGTTTCTTCTGCCTTTCTAATTGCTTCCCCACAGCATCTAGAAAATTAAACAAAAATCAACAATCAACATCTTTTTAGCCTTTTACACTACTGTTTTTTTGTCCTAATAAACACCCCTGCAGCACTCCACTAATTACATCACCCAAAATAGAGCTCACTTATTATTTGTACTGTTTTCTATTCATTAACCAGTTCTCAATCCAAATACACATATTACCTTGAGTGCCTTGCAATATAAGAATTAATATTTTATGAGGAACTTTATCAAAAACCTTCTGAAAATTCAAATACATGTATACCATATTTTAGAACTACACCGATTGTTGTTTGTTCAAAGAACTCTTAACATGTACATGTTAAATTAGACCTTTTCCCATAACCTTACGTGTAACAGAAGTAAACTTTGGTCTAGAATTAATTGGTTCTGTTTTCTCATTCTTTAATGTAAGGGTGTTACATTAGCAATTTTTTAGTTGGTGAATATTAACCCCGGAAGAGTTTTTTTTGGTTCAGAGTAGGAAAAAATACTATGTGCACTATAAGTACAGTATACAGAGGAAGTGAACCTCAATACTGAATTATCACCTAATAAAAATCAAGTGTGCGAATTATACAAAGGTTTGTTAAGGCTGGCAGCTGAAAAGAAGCAATACTCTGGCTTACCCCTTTTTTACTCTGGCAAAGTCAAATGCCATCTGTCGGTATGAAAATGCCTTCTCATTCAAATATCTGCTGTAGCGTCTGATGAATGTTGACATATCATACCCTAAAAGAAAACAGATACCATTACCAATCAAAGCCCCATTCACTTTCATGCTTCTTAGCAGACTGATTCAAAATAAATGTAATTATGAACCCAACAAAACACTGGTTGGTATTTTCATTAATGTAAATATAAATGTGAGATAATTCTGAATTCTGTTACTCTGAATAATTAACTAAATTAATTTACAAGAATAGTCTGGTGTATAGCTACTCCATCTTTGGCAGGCAAAATGAAAGCTTCAGTTTTAAAGGGCTCTTCCATAATAGCTGGAAATGAGGCATATCTGTAATGCTGAATTTAGTCACACAAGATTGAAGTTACAGATTAATCAATGATGCAGATTTTGACTAAATGTATTTGTCCACAGCAAGCTTATTTATTTCATGCTGTAAAGATTTATTTAAATTATTTAAAGGGGAAATAATGTTGCTGTTATACAATTGTACCTTGAGATCTTAAGCATTTTGTACGTCAGTAGTGTACTTTTCTTTTCTGATGTCTAAAATGTCTGCCATCAGAAGAACCATAATTTTATCAACTACATACAGTATATTTCATGGCTCTCATAAATCTACAGAGAGGAAGACCTGCAGGTGACAGAATACAAATATGAACTCAATGAAACAAATGCTATGATTTACTGCAGAAAAAAAGGCTTCAGCAGATGATTTTTTAACAGGATCTTTCCTCTGCAGCTACATAGATTGCCAAAAGAAAAATTAGAATATAAGATGCTTTCAAATGTTTCATTCACATAGCTTCACATTGGAAGGCAAACATTATTAAACACAATGATCACTATATTTTTACTCAACAAGATACTGGATGCCATCATAAGTATTACACAAAACAAGCCTTTTAAACCTCAAATACGTTAATGAGGGGATTTTTCTCCTCTGATTATGAACTGATGAATTGAACATAACGTGCAATTGTTTGAAAGCCATTAACATCAGTTTGCTAAGAACAGTTACAGTAAGGTTTTATAACAAAGAAGGGGCATTCATAATGCCTAAATATTTGATGAAGTCTATACAGAACCATTACATTAAATCATTTCTTGATGTTGCAGTGCACGTGACTACAAAGATCCATAAATTATATTGACGTTGCTATGACAACATAAACTGTCCACAACATCTCCTCAATATACTGGGTATTGTACCAAAACCATCCGTTAGACTTTGGGAGTAATTTGCAGATTCTTTCATATCAAGCAGTTTCTTCCCCTTCTCGAGAACTCAGTGCGAGTCAAATCAAATCAAATTAATTGAGTGGATGACATCATCGTATTTCCCTGTTATTTCTTACTTGTTAAATTTCCTGTCCTGTCTGCAAATATAATGGTTTCAACAGCTGAAGCATAGACAATAAAAAAATAAAAAAAGACATACCAAACATGGAAAACAGGACATTATTTATATAGCCAGGCATTAAAAACTCCTCACCAGTGGAAAATGATATCAGTTCCAATATGCTCTTGCTGTGTTAATGCTTCTCAGGACTTAAGAATATAATGGGGAATACATGACCTCTTTAAGTGATGGCAATTAGATGAAATGGGAATTTGCTGTATTATTGAAATATAGGCCTAATATACATCAAACAAATCAATCATCTTAAAGGCTAGATGGGACCATTAAGCAAAGTTTACAATTAAACCCATATAGGGAAAGACAAAGTTATCTTACCATGGGAACCACTTTTGTCCAAAAAATTACTGAGGTTAAACAGTGTGTTCCTAGAAGCCAAGTACTGGATAAATCTCTGCCAGAAAGAAAGAACAAGGTTAGTTCACACTTATAATGATATACAGTAGACAGTAATTTAAAACGTGAACAAAACAATATTGTAAACATGTGAAAACATTTATTACAGGGATTGTTTCTTTTAATTGTTTTTTTTTTTATAATGAAATAATATAGCATAGGGCTGATTTAAAGCAACATAATCAAAGACTGGGGGACTCTACTGAGTGCTGTCTTGAAAGAATATCTGTTTCCCAGACTGCAGGCATTTAACGCATTCATTTAGGCTGCAAAGTATTAATATAAAACATAAGCTGCTCTTCATGATTATGATGAACAGAATACAATTTTCTATTCAGTTTTGACAGAATGGTTGAAATAAATATAACAAATGCAGAAGGTAATAATGAGACCACAGGGTGGTCCTGTACTATACTTACAATACACAGCAGGTGATTATTAGAAGCATTTAAAATGTTAAAACTCACACCTTCTGATTTCCTCTGAATTACATTTTTAACATTTCTATGTAGTGGAGGGTATAAATACTTGTGTAGTTCAACCGAAACGTTGTGTTTCTTTTCTTTTCAGCATGGAATAAACCTTTACTTGTTCCTTCATAAATACTTGTGTTTTTGAATATTCTGAAAATATATTGTTATAAATGGGGGTTATAAAAATGGAGAGAATCAGAAAATGACAGAACGGAATAGTCAATATGTAAAACACTTAATCATAACTCCCAACTTGTAAGGATTTCTCCAAGAATATACCCTAGCAGTTGGTTCTAATTATACCTCTATGCTCTGCTGTTTTTTATCCTACACTTTTGACACACTTAATCATTTACCCAGAAATGAATATGAAAACTAGAAGATAATTTTGATCAGTGTTTCTCACACCCAGCACAACTAAGTAAACATCCCTTGGTTTGAAGCTCTAGGAAGTGGAGATATTGACAAGAGTTACAGTAGGTGTTACCCGTTGTGTCTACATTCTTAGAGACACCTCCATTGTTGGCTGCCTCAGCCTGTAACAACATTTCTCTAATACTTACAATAGTTTAACAGTTGCTTTTTTTTAAATACAAATGCTATATGTAGTGTAGAGTATTTTAATATGACAGTGAAATAAGGAAACCATACCACAATGCTAATCAACAGGGAGATGGAAAGAATATATCTACCATGTGTGCTAATGGTTAATCGTGCAACAGAAAACGAAGGCAAATATGGTGAGAAAGCTTTGCTAAAATAAAGAGAACACTGTACAGTGTAACGTCTGCAAGGAAAAGCAAAACCTAGCACAAATTAACAAGTTTAATGTTTAATCACTGTACATACAGTATAAATATCCACGCACTTGGATCACAAAAAAAACAAACAAATCTGTTGGAACAAGTCGATGTCACTGCATAGCATGTCATATTGACTAAAATTCAAACCTAATTACAAACATGATCATGAAGCATACATGACCTATCAGTTTTGTGCTTATGGAATTTGCTAAACCAGAATATGTTATCAGACCACAACTAAAGAATTTAAATGCAGAGTGTGCTGTTGCTGTTTGCAGTATTCAATAATGAGTCAAGTGCAACAATCTTTTCCCATTTTATAGACGAATGGAAAACTGCTAAGTACTGTTTTTCATATTTGTGGCAGTACCAGAAAGATACACAGCAGTGCTGGAGGTCACAACTGAAACATGGCGTCTTCATGGGCAAAATCACTGCCTGTGTCCAAGACAATGCAATCTGCATGGTTTTAACAGACTATCTTTCTTGGTTGGTCATCCCATGTGTGTTCTGCACATACTTTGGAGCCTGTTGTTGGAGCAGCCAACTTGTATCACATTTTCACCACAGTGTCTTGCAACTCAGGCCTTGGAGCTGAAACAGTAGCAACAGCAGCTACCTGATCACTGACTTCCATAGCATGGTTGCACACAAAGGAGTTCAATCCAGGTCAAGTCTCTTTGTGGAGGACATTTTCAGTGCTGCTGTCTGACAGTGTTAGAGAAAGCTTAGAGAAGCCCCAACACTGGATCTGAGGTTGCTGGACCAGCTCCTGCTGGTACTTTATACCACTCCTTGAAAGGTGCTACAACTCAGCTTAGCAATGAAAATAATCATCTCATCATCATCAGTGCACCTTATTACTGCCACCTTGCTATGAAAATACCCGATGATGGAGCCAGGCGTCACAGATTAAAACTGCCGACTCTTTGAGGCGCACATAACCTCACGAACGCAAACGTCTGGAGAAGCGGCCTTCATCGCAACTTTTTTGGACCCTCGGCACAAACGCCTTCAGTTTACCGTTCGCCACGCCGGTGAGGCTGCTCCGTGTGGTGAGGAATGCGACAAGGATCACAGCACGCAGTTTGAAAAATACGCACCTGACTCGCGCGGGTATGCTGCCTTTTCCAGATCTAGCGTGCGCAGTGGGCACAGAAGGAAGAGCGGTATAGAAATCTAGCACATCTAGCCAACGCCTGTCTGTGCTACCCAGCTATGTGCCTGCAGAGAGTGGTTTTCGGCGGTGGGACTTCTGAACAGACTGCGCTGTCAGCTTGCTCATCTTAGCAAACACGATCTAATTTCAATATGAAATTAAAAGAACAAGCGGTCCATTGCCAATCTGAACACTCAGAAGGAGCGCATGTATTTTTTTCCTTGAGATCTGCTACTACTCCTTGTGAACTGGCTAATGAAAAAAGACTTCTAGAATCCAGATTATAGGTGTGTCTCTCCCTTAAGTTATTACAGACCACATTTTCTGCTTTGGACTTTAGTGCTTTATGGGATTTGCTAAAAGATGCTAAGATGCCATTAATTTTTATTATTGTTCAGTTTATGTGGCATATGCACAAGTGCCATGAAATGCTTATTTGTGTGCTCCAACACAAAGACATTAAAAGAATCATTAAAGGAATCAAAAACATAAATACAGAACAGCAACAACAACAAGGTAATTAACATACCACTTAAAAAGAAGTCAGACAAGCAGTGTGAGAAGAAAAATAAACATCAGTGGTAGCCAGGGGTAGGGGTAGAGCTCAGTAATCTGACAGCTTGTGGGAAGAAACTGTCTCTGAATCTGGAAGTTTGTGCCTTTGTGCTCCTATAACTCTTACCAGACGGAAGGGGGGGAAAGTGAGAAACCAGGATGATTTAATCATGTTTTATTTTAACATTGACAGCTGCTTGCACTATTATAGGATCAGAATGTAATTCTAATCAAAGTGCTAGTATCCAAATACTATTCTAACTTAGTTACTGTAGAATATTTGAATACTAAATTCTTCTAAATTTTCCTTCTTTTCCCCTTTCTGGCAGCTCATGCTCACAGAATGCCATACCTCAGACTAACTAAACTATAGCCATTATTTTGTTTCAATACTTTTTGAAGCATAATGTCAACCAAACTCAACCCAGATAAGAGTAGTTGAAAAAAATTTATAAAAACCAGGCTGATGCCAAGGCTGAGAGAGGTGTTAAGCAACACAAATCCCAAAAACACCTCTTGATCGAAGCAGGACAGCATCTCTGTGACGGGGAGAGCTGGTCTCCATACCCGTCAAGTCCAGTGTAATGGCTGAATGGTACTCCAGCCACACCCTCTCCCACAGTGACATGCTGGCCTATTGGCTTATTTGTTGTTTTTTTTTTCAAATTGATGATGCCAAGGCTCAGTCAGCACAGGCCAGGTGCAGAAGACTGGGCTGTGGCTCAGGTGGAGCTGCATGACTTCTGCTTGAGATCGAGCTGGCCATGTGATTCCTATCTGATGCTGATGACATGTTTACCCCACTCAGGCACTAGGAACATGGGAGTACTAGTGACACCTTTGCCACATGCACAGTAGCAGTGTTTTAATAATGCCTTCAATGTCCCTCTCCCACTGGCTTTGCAATATTAGCTGGAAAAATATTTTTTCTGACATTTTAAAATAATTTGTTTTAAAATGTACAGTGATATACAGAGGGGATCAGTTCAGTATAGCTTAAAATGTGCACATACAGTAAACCAGTCACCTCTGCTTCCAGCTTTTAAAGAAATACATGAGGATGTACCACACGTGCGGATATGAAACACCCTTCTGTAGGTGCAGTCTATAAATAGGAGAGCAGTGCACTTCATTTTGACTACTGGAGCAGTGTTTTATGCTGAATGTCATTCTAGTAAACCTTAGCAATTCACGCATCTAAAACACATAAATGTCCAGATTTAACTGAATGCGAGGAACATCCACTTAATTCTTTAAGGAAGCTCTAAAGAACATGCCATCAATGAACCTTTGCACAGCCATTATAGTAATGCAGTAAGCAGTAAAAGCCAAGAGTCCGAATCTGAACACTTGACTTGATTATAACATGGAATTCAAGCAAATTTCTCATTTGCAAAAGGTAACATACTGTATGCCAAAATCCATTCCTAATTTTATTTTCTAACAATTTTTGAGTTTTTTTTAAATCTACACCCAATTTAGATCTGCCAGCAGATCCCTTACTCAGGGAGATCAAGAAAAATAAATCTACGTGAACTCCCTGCCACACTCACCTTCATGACTCTCAACACAGGAACCCAAGCAGTGTACAGCAGGTTCAGCAGTAACTGGAGGAGGCACATCAAGCCTGCCGCCGCCTGATAAATCCCAACACACTCATGGCAACGCCCGGCCTACTGTACACCACCACTTGGGGAATGTCTGTCACAGTCAGCTAGTGACGTGTCCCAGGCCCAAACCTTTAACACCTAAACATCACAGCTCAATGTGCTTTGACCAACTGAACCACTCGGGAGGCCCAACTCGGAACATTCCAGAAACACCAGCTGCAGCTCTGAATATCTCCAATATCTGAGGATTTCGAAACCAAAAGATACAGTGCACAGAACAACAGTGATAAGAAGGCTGGCAGGGTGAGGAAAGCAACTTCCACTCAAGCTGCTTAAAGGCTTGTTGTACAAAGTCAACAAGTCACATCACTGGTTTATTCCTTATTCCTGCCATGTGT